CGCCGCAGCAGCCCACCGTCACCGCCGACAGCGTCGACCGGGCGGCGCAGCTGCTCGATGGAGACTACAACGACGGCGACGAGGGCGAGGGCGAGCGCCGGGCGCTGGCCGAGCTGCTCGGCGCCGAGAGTCGACAGCAGCAGGAGGCGGCGGCGGCGAACTCGAATTCGACGAAGCGGCAGCGGCGGGAGAGGAAGCGGCAGCAGGAGCAGGAGCGACGACACCAAGAGCAGCAGCAGCAGAAGCAGCGGCAGCAGCGGGTGGTGCTCGAGGCGCTCGAGGAGCCGAGTGAGGAGTACCTCCTCCAGCAGCAGCGGCGGCAGCAGCCACTCGAAGACAGCCTCGAGGAGGGTACGTGTGCGGTTGTGTGTGTGTGTGTGTGTGTGTGTGTGCGTGCGGTGGTGCGTGTGCGGTGGAGCTGATTGCGTGCGCACGCGCAGACGGAGGTGTTGTAGATATCGAGGGGGAGGGGGAGGGGAACGAAGAGGAGGACGAAGACGAGGACGGGGCAGCGACGCTGCTCGGGGACGACGGGATGGAGAAGATGATCCTGCGCTTCCAGCTCGAAGCCGCCCAGCAGTCGATCATCTACATGGAGAAGGAGCTCGCCTCGGAGAAGAAGGCCAACGCCGACCTCCAACGCACCCTCAAGCACAAGGTCCGCCCCCACCCGCCCCCTCCAGCCCCCTTCCGCCCCCTCCAGCCCCCGGCCCTCACACTCGGGCGGGCGTCTCAACAGGAGCAAAAGGAGAAGATCTTGGGGGACTCGATCAAGGAGCACGAGGAGGCGATGGTGCAGCTGCGGCGGCACATGAAGGAGATGGAGAGCCAGATGCTGGCCCTGACCGACAACGCGCAGATGCTCAAGCAGCTGGTGCTCTGCCAGCACTGCTGCAAGCGGCTGCGCAACGTGATCCTCCTCCCCTGCATGCACCTCCTCTTTTGCCGCAAGTGCGTCAAGGAGCTCAAGCGCAAGCACAAGGAGGACACCAACACCAACGTCAACACCACCAACGCCAACGTCAACGGCAACGCGGCGGCCAAGGCGCAGGCAAGAGGCGGCCAAGGCGCGATGGCGTCGGCGTCGGCGGCGGCGGCGGCCAAGAAGCAGAAGAGCCCCTTCCGGTGCCCCAAGTGCAGCGGCGAGGTGCGGGGCAAGATGAAGTGCGAAATGGGCTGTTAGAGAAGAAGAGAAAAAGAACAGGAAACATTCATGTTTCCTTTTCTCTTGAGCCCTGGTCTGGTTTGTTTGTTGAAGAGACACCAGAGATAGAGAGATGGAGGTGGTGGAATTAGATCGGCTGCCTGGGCCATACGATGGCAACAACAACCAACATACCCAGCCCCACCCCCAGCAGCAGCCCCACAACCATCAGCAGCCCACCACCAGCAGCAGCCGCCCTTTAATGGGGTGTTTGGGCTGCTTTGTGTGAATCTGGCGGTGTTCTGCCTGGACCACCTGGTGGAGCTGGAGGGCATGCGCGGGTTCTACCTGTACCAGCACAACCCGTGGGTGCACCAGCTGGTCACCTCCCTCTTCTGCCACGCCTCCTACGCGCACCTCTCCTCCAACCTCTTCTTCATCTTCATCTTTGGCCGCATCGTTGAGGAGCGCCGCGGGTCTTGGGGCATCGTCGCCGTCTTTCTCACCTGCGGCATCTGCGCCAACCTCCTCACCCTCCTCACCCCCTACGATGTCAAACGTACGTCTCTCGTGGGCGTGTGCGTGTGCGTGTGTCGTGTCGTGTGTGCGTGTGTCGTGTGTCGTTTGCGTGTGTGTCGTGTCGTGTCGTGTCGTGTCCTGTGCGGTGGCTAAACTGTTTTCTTCTGTGTAGCGGGAGTGGTGGTGTACAACTTGGGTGCGAGCGGGGGCGTGTTCGGCCTCTTTGTGGTGTCGGTGCTGGACAGGCTCGAGCTGCGGCCGCGCAGCCTGGTCGAGGTGCTGGTGCTGGGCCAGTTCGTGCTCAACCGCATCGTCGAGGAGCTGCAGAGCCTGTCGCGCTCGGCCGCCACCAGCGGCGACCGCGTCAACATCAACCGCACCGCGCACCTGGGCGGCGCCCTCACGGGCGTCATCTTCTGCGTGGCCTACATGCGATGGCAGGCCCTCTCCAAGCTCACCGAGGAGCGCAAACGAATCGTATAACACCGACAACAACATAAATAAATATATAAATATATAAAGAAATATCATAACATTATCAGAACATTATCAGAACATTTTTCGAAACAAAAACAAATAAAAAGAACAAAAAAAAGAGAGGAAATAATTGGGTTAGTTGACGGGGCGGCCGGAGGGCATCTCGAACCAGCCAAAGTTCCACAGCTTGGGCTGACCGATGTGGGCGATGTGGGGCCAGTCGGCGTCGTTCCACTCGAAGGGCGGCTGCTGGTCGTGCGACGGACCGCTCTGCGCCTGGCAACGACCGAGCCTCACCTGCACGACACACGCCGCACACGCACACGGTCAGTACAATCGCCGCACACGCACACACGCACACACACCGCACACGACACGCGCGCGAGTGCGGCGTACCAGAGCCTTGGAGGTGATCTTGGAATCGATACCGCCGAACGCAGCGCGGACCAGGTTGGGGTTGGGCGGGTTGTCGCCCTTGGGCACCAGGTCGAAGCGCGACGAGATCTGGTTGCCCGGGTTGCCTGCGCGTGCGTGCGTGCGCACACAGCCATCAGCCTATATGCGCGTGTGTCGTGTCGTGCTATGTGCGTGTGTCGTGTCGTGTTGTTATGGGGCGAACCGTAGGCGGCGGGGTCGTTCTGCCAGTCGTTGTAGCGGAGGAGGTTGCGGGCGGCCGCCAGATCGTTCACCTTGACCGCGTCCCGGCGGAAGATGTACGCGCGCGGGTGCATCTGGTAGTTGAACCAATCTCTGCACACGACACACACAACACAGCACGACACACGCGGCACGACACAGCACGACACACGCGGCACAGCACGACACGACATGAGTGCGTTGCGATGGGGAACTGGTGAACTCGGGCCTCAGGCGTGAAGCACGCACCCGTAGGTGCGCTCCAGTTCGATGAAGCCCGACTCGTTGAAGATGCTCTCGAAATAGGGAATGTTGTAGCTCGGCCAGTACCTGCTCCCTCCCCCTCTATCAGCCACCGTGCCGCGCGTGCGGAGTGCGTGTGCGGCGCGCGTGTGCGGTGTGTGCGGCGTGCGTGTGCGACGAACCCGAGGCGGAGGTAGTGCGTGACGTCTTCGAATTCGACGCGAGTGGGGATCTGTTCGACGACGTGGAGTACGCCGTCGGGCAGGGGCTCGCCCGGGGTGAAGCGGGCGTAGTTGACGATGATCCACTGGTTGTTGTAGGTCCCCGAGTTGTACTGCTTGAAGATGTCGATCCACTCCTCGCCTGACCCCGCCATCCTGTTCGCCACCTGCGCACACGCCACACGCACACGCCGCACACACTCGTCTGTCACCCAACCCGCGCGTGCGGCGCGCGTGTGTGGTGGTGTGTGTCGCTGTGTGTGCGGTGTGCGGCGTGTGCGGTCGTACGGAGACGCGGATCCAGCTCATGACGGACTGTGGCTTGATGTACTTGAAGAGGGCCTCGTTGGTGATGCCGTTGGTGGTCTCGATCACCACGAGCCCGCTCGACAGCTGGTAGAAGTCGTCCACCGACGACACGAAGGCCGGGTAGCTCGAGAAGAGCGTCGTGCGGGCCGTCGTCTGCGCCGCGCGCAGCGGGAAGTCGTAGTGCTTGAACACCCGCACCATGTTGTAGTAGTCGGCCCACGTCGTGTGTCCTGCGCACGCGTCAGTCAACTGCACGTGTGCGGTGGTGTGTGTGTGTGTCGTGTGTCGTGTGTGTCGTGTGTGTGTGTGTGTGTGTGCATGTGTGTGCGGTACCGGCGTAGAGCTCCTGGAGGTCGGGAGTGACGCGCACGTAGGCCGAGCAGTGGGTGTTCTGAATCGGCGGCTTCTTGATCCGCTGCGCCAGCCCTGGAATGCTCGGGCAGTTGGCCACCTGCAAAAATAAAATAAAATAAAATACAATTTAAATAAATAATAAAGAAAAAGATAAAAGATAAAAGAAAAGAAAAGAGAAAAGCGTACGACGCAGAGCTCCTCCATGTCGCCGTCGCTGTTGAGGAGGATGAAGGCGTCGAAGGGCAGCGCGCGTGCGGTGCTGTTGGCAACGAAGGCCGACTCCTGGTAGCCCTGGTGGATGCCGCGCAGCTGGAGCAGGAGCAGCTCGACGTGGCGCCAGTAGGGCTGCGTGGCGGCGTAGCGCCGCACCTGGTCGTCCATCCAGGCCAGGTTGGCCTTGAACCAGCCCTGGAGCGCGGCCGGCACCGACCCGCCGAACGAGGACTGGAGCAGGTTGTACCAGTTCTCCCAGACCATGGCGGCGGTGACGCGGCCCTCGAGGTAGCCGGCGCCCCACATGGTCAGCTCGTCGGCGTAGACCGGGTTGGTCTTGACCGTGAGCCGCGCCCAGCCCGACGTGTTGCGCTCATCGCCGAACTCGCCCGTAGCCACTGATTTTTTTAAATTAATAATTTTAATAATAAAACGGGTTTTAACAATTGTTGTTTTAATTGTTTCCCCATTGTTTTAATGAAAAAAATATGGAAAAAAGAGGATAAATCTAGATTATGAAATGGGGGAGGTACCGCCGTTGACGGGGTCGTAGATGGGGGCGACGGAGTAGAGGTTGGTGGCGGGGTCGAAGTAGGCGGTCCAGTAGGCTTTGCTCGGGGCTGCCGCCTCGGAAGCAGCGACCAGCGAGACGGCAGCGAGCAGCAGCAAGACGAGTGCCGCAAGGCTGCCGGCGGCCAACGAGGCTCGGCGACTTATCATCTTTTGATCGCAGATCGGTGGTGTTGCACAAACCTTTGAGTGGTTGGTTGCACAACGAAATGAAAAGAATAAGTGTCCCCCTTTTTCTTATTAGTTAACTCATATTATTTAAATATAATAAAAGAAAACAAAGCCCCACGTTGGGGTCGAGACGCAGTGGGACAACTCTCTGGTCATGGTGCGTCGTCAGACAAACTCGGGCGGTGGAGACTCCACGAGAGGATGCCGTGGGCCTGGCTGAGGCCGCCAGTGGCCGCCGTGAAGCCCAGCCAGGCCGTGGGACTGCCGCCCAGCCGCGCGGCCAGGTCGCCCACCTGGACGCTGAGCGCGGCCGCGGCGCCGTCGTCGACGAACACGTCGAGCCGGCCCTCGCGGCGGCGGTAGTGGACGGCCACGTCGTGCGGCCGGCCGTCGGCGAGTCGCGGGATGCGGCGCGCGCAGCCGAGCGAGTGGCGGTGGTGCGCCGAGTTGGGCAGCGGGCCGCGCGTGTGCAGGCTGATGTGGTTGTCGTTGGGATCGTCGCAGCGGTCCGCGCTCTCGTAGGTGTCAAACTCGATTGCCAGCCTTGTTTGTGATGTTTGCGCCATCACAAAACGATGAGAGTTTGTTAGAGAAAGAAAGAAGACGACAGCCAGCACTTGATTGATTGACGGATGAGAAGAAGAAGAACGAAGAAGGGGTCGGCTGCCACGTACGAATTGGGCAGTCCGCCATAGCCGAGCTCGCAGCCACCCACGCCAATGGCGTGCTCATCTACAGCCTGCCCGGGATGCGTTGAAGTGTTTTGTTCAGCCTCTGGCCTTGCTCCGAGGTTGAGCACTTGGGAGGAATTACGAGTCGTACGCACCTGCACCACAAAGGCGAAGCCGTCCGCGCCTTGACCGCCGTTGCCTCTCCGTATCTGAAAGCGGAAGCTTGTGAAGAACTCGGCGTTAAGCGGCTGCCGGACTGGTGTTATCAGAAAGAGAGGGAAATGAGTGCAGCGTTTGAAAGGCACGACGTTTGGGGGCGGATGATACCAGAGTGCCAGAGGGCGCCCAATTGGTCGTTCTGGTCCGGTGTGAGCCAGGCAACGTGCTCGGATTGGTGGATGCGCGCCGAACCCACAAGCGACAGCTGCTGGACGTTGGTGCCGCCAAACGCCTGATAGTTGAACACCTCCGCATACGAGGCCGGCACCGCTGCTCACGGCGCACGTACCCAGACAAATTGGTGGCAGAACACAACACACACACACACACACACAACACACACACACACACACACACACACACACACACACACACGTAAAAAAGAGTGGTCCACCCACCGATAGCGGTACGAGACTGCTGCGGCTCAGTCATGCAGCCCATCTCCCGTCGTGCCTCTCTCCATTCCTGCGAACCTGCTTCAGTGTCAGTTCTCATCGCCTCATTCGCTCTTCAGTACACATCATATGTACCCGATGTGCGACCAATGGCTTCTTCAGCGCTCACCTCGCGCTCCCGCTGACTGTTCGCGAGCTCCTGTGATTCAGCGGCCCTTCTGCCCGTCCAGTCCTAAACATGAGATATGCGCATGAGACGAAATCAAAACAGAAGTGCGTGCGCGTGCGTGCGTGCGTGATGTACCGCTGTTGCGGCGGTGTCCAACTGCGCGCGTTGTCTGAGTTGCCTGTCTAACCAGTCCACGACCTGAGCAAACACGTCCTCAGGCACCTGTAGGTGGCACGCGGCAATGGGTCGTGAGAGTACAGCTTAGCGAGGGAATGAATGGAATGCACGACATGTACCAGCGTTCTGCGCGACAGGACTTGGTCCCATTGGCGCGTGTAGCGGTGGATGACGTCGATGGCCTCGTCCTTGGAGATGGCCACCACGTAGCTCAGCTTCTTTCCCCAGCCGGCCTCATACAGCAAAGGTCTGCCCACGAGTACCGCCCATGAGCAACAAACGTCGCGTGTACTCGTACACAAGCATGCGCGAAAGAAGAGCGAGAGAGAGAGAGAGAGAGTCGCAACTTACTTGTCGTAGGCAGACTCGCAGGGGTCGGCGTGCACCCATCTCTCTTGGTTGTGCGAATACACCTAGGCGTTGTAAACCAGCGACGAGCCATCTTTGAGCTTAGAGCGTTGGCCGTGCACGTGGAGGAGGCGTACTTCGACCCACACGTGGTCGGTCCAGTCGATGACCATGCGCGTAGGGTAGCCCATGGCCCGGCAGCACAGCGCGAAGCATTGAGCCCACTCACCGCAGCGCCCTCGGCGCGTCTCCAGAAGCTTATCAGCTATTGTATACCATCATTATTATTAAACTTAGTACTAAGTTCGTCCCGCCTTGGCGTCCGAGTGCTCGTACGTACCGTGATTGTAGCGCGGGAAGCGGACGACCGTCCCACAGAGAGTACAGGCATACACTTCGGTGCGATTCGCCAGCCACCGCGCTTCGTCGGGCGAGCTCTCGGTGACGCCGATGGAATTCGTCGGGGCCTGCTCAACAGCACACACACACATAGACGCCCCCTAGCGTGAGGGCCTCTTACTACCTCACTCGCAGACGAGGCGTGCGAGACGCACCCCACAAAACGAGCAGCTGGGCTTGTCCACCCACGAGAAGAAGTCGGCCTTGAACCACCGCAGCAGCTCGATGAACAAGGCCTCTCTCCTGGCCCAACCCTCCTCCGGTTCTCGATCTCTCGCTCTGCGCTCGAGCTCGACGCAAGGGAGGAAGGACAGACAGCGCGCCTGGGGAGCAGCAAGTCAGCTGATTGTTTGCAAACGTGAACGAGGGGCGAATCTGGGTGGGGCCGCCCCTTACCTGTAGCAGCGGGTCCTCGTACTGCCGCATCTGCGCCGCGGTGGCGTCGAGCCGGCCTCGGATCTGCGCGCTCTCGGCCTGGAAGCCACCAGCCTGAGCGCGCTGTTGGAGACGCTGTACCAGGGCGCGCTTGTAGTCGCGCATCGATGTGAGCATCGCCTCCCTCAATTTGCCTCCTACCGGCTTCACTGCACTACTGTGGGGGAGACGTGTCGTGAGTACGTGGCGCGAAGTGGAGTGGCCGTGGCCGTGGCACGGGTACGCACCCCAAAGCAAGCAGGCACTGTCTGGCGGGGTCGGCAGCGCAGCTGCACTGAAGCGGAGAAGCCTCGCTCATCCAGCCGCTGATGGCATTCATGTGGCATGTTGCGGCGCACGCGAAGCACACCGGGCGGCCGTGGCACATGACCAGCGGCTGAGCGACCGCCTCGCTCCCGAATAAGGTCCTCGTGCACCGCACCTTCCACTCTGCACGGGGAGCCAGGACGAGAGGGAACAAGCGCCTGAGTGGAGACAGCCAACGGCACCGGGCGCACCACACTCACATTGAGAGGGAGAGGCAGCAGCTTACCATCGACGTTCTCCTGGGTCAATTGGTAGTTGGTGGCGTCGAGTTGCTGCTGCTCTTCCTCTTCCTCTTCTCCTCGCTCTACAAGTGTCAGCCTTTGGCCCTGGTGGGGGAAGATGCGCATATGAGCGGGTTAAACTTGCTGTACTATACGTGCAGACAGAAGATAGCGAAGAGGTGAAGAGGCATACATCCACGTAGAGGCCTGCCAGGGGTGTTGTTTCGTCCTGTTGGTTGCACGTAGAAGGTTGCTGAGCGTTAAAAGATGGAAACGAGAGAGAAGTAGCGGCGACGTACGGGACAAGAGGGCGACAAGTGCTGACGATTGGGCGGGAGGGAGGTCAGCGAGAACAAGAGCCCCTGCAGCTCAGCCAGGTCGCCTTCTGCATCCACAACCACCTCCAGCCTGGAGGCCAGACCAAAGATTAACACAAAAAATAGTAACACGCGAGGCCTCAAATGTGTACGTCTGCTCTCCAAACTGGACGACAAGCTTCAGCTCCCCTGGCGTTGCCTCCATCTGTGGGCGTGAACAAGGTGGAAAAAAAATAAAAAGAAGTAAATGTTATGCCAATCATTACAAGCATTTTCTCATGTTTTCCTCCAGTTTATTCTGCGCTTGGATTGTCTCTTCTTGCCATTTACAAGAGGCCACAAAAGATGTCGAAGAAGCAGTATGTCGTGGTACGTTCATTCACGCGCTTAACTTTTCCACGGCGTGCCACCTTTGGACATAAAATGAAATTGAGCGGTCCAATTAATTTCACAATCACTTGATGGCACTGCATCTATCATCAGAGGTTGCAAAAGGAGTTGCAGCAGTTGCTCAAGGAGCCCGTGCCCCACGTCAAAGCTTTCCCAAACCCGGCCAACATCTTGGAGTGGCACTACGTCATCACTGGACCCGACGACACACCGTACCGAGGTAAGCTAGGCCAGCTGGCCCCTCTACCCCCCTTTGTACGAAGCCAAGGGCAACGGCATGGCCTTGAGCTCCTTCCTCCATATCTATCACAGGCGGAGTCTATCACGGCAAGCTCAGGTTCCCTCCGGAGTACCCCATGAAGCCGCCCTCCATCATGATGCTCACGCCCAACGGGCGATTCAAACCCAACACGCGGTTGTGCTTGTCCATGTCGGACTGTACCGCCCTCTCCCCTCTCGCGTCATTCCGCTCTTCTTCTTCTTGCGCTCTGGGCTGCACCGAGCTGGCTACGTGCCTGCTCGCTCACCAACCTCTCTCTCTCTCTCTTTCTCTCATTTTACCAGTCCACCCCGAGACATGGAATCCGCTGTGGAGCGTGGGCAGCATACTTACTGGCCTGCTCTCATTTATGGTCCGTTCTGGCTTCCTCTCTGCGGAGTGTGCCGTGTGTGTCGTGTGTGGCTAGCCATTGCCAGGAGCTCATCCGGTTCGTGCGTGTGTGCCTTCGCCTCCTCCTGTGTGTGCAGTTGGAGGACAAGATCACGTCGGGAAGCATTGAAACGACGGACCTGCAGAAGCGCCAATACGCACGAGAGTCGATGGAGGCCAACAAGCGGGACCCCATGTTCTGCAAGATTTTTCCCGACCTCATCAAGGGTATTGTCATCACCGCCCTTCTTCATCTGCTTCTTCTTCTTCCTTCTTCTTCGCCGCGTGCCGGTACTTACAACCGCGGCTGTTACGGTTAACAGAGTACGAGGCCAGACAGCAAGCGGCGGCGTCAGAGCCCGTGAGCACCGCTACGTCAACGTCGACGTCGACAGCGACGGGAGAGGGCGGCCAGCCAACTGGTGGCGCGGTCCAGCAGCAACAAGGTGGGCTTCCGCTTCTTGACCTGTTCGTTGGCGCTGTGCTCTTTGCGTTCGCCGTTCTCGTCTATCTGTACATACAATGAAACACAAGAGAGAGAATGCAAGACCAGAGACAAAGACGCACTCCGCCCGCCCCCTGTCGCACGCGCGCGCGCTTGAGTGTGCCGTCAGCCATGACCGCACGCGCACGCACCTACTCATCACCGCACGACACACTCACGACACAGGACCCAAGAAGCCAACCAAGAACCAGAGGCGAAAGGCCAAGAAGAAGGCCCAGCAGCAGGATCCCGCCAAGCAAGCCGAGGCCGAAGCCGAGGCCGAAGCTGAGGCCGAAGAGGGAGTGTGACGACCCAATCCACGCAATCCTCATTCCACTTCCTCTTTGGCGCACGCTGAAGAGGGAGTGTGACGACCACCCAATCCACGCAATCCTCAAGGCCACGTCTCCACACAAACGTCGTCATTCCCACTTCCTGCACGCCCGGCGCCTGGTGACTTCAAGGAAGTGAGCCCAGCACCAGCCTCGCGCCCAATAAATTTGAATCTCGGCTCTGATTGTCCGTTGGACATTTGAATTTCAGTGGCGTCGGAATGCCGCGTTACTGCTCGTACATTCCACGCGTGCCTGCCATCTGCGGTTATTTGGGCTGGCAATTTCGAGTGTTTTGACCCCACGCACAAGTACTGCCAGGAGGCGCCTCGTTCGAACAACGCAAGAGAGCCGACGCCACCTCGAGCGCACACTCGAGAAAGTTCTACTATCGATCTTTGGATCTACTGCACCACCTCTGCCACCCCCGAAATCTTCGCCTTCACGAATCCGCGGCGGGTCATTGATTTATCTTTAATTGAGACGAATAATTAGATAATTAGAAGGAGAAGAGAGAAGAAGAAGAAGAAAGAAGAAGTGAGCAGCTCAGCATTCTTCATTTAATTTAAAGAAGAGGAGATATTCGCTAGCATAGCTTCCCCCACGACTGCACAACACCAACAGCTCGTTTCCTCCTGCTCTCGCTCGGTTCATGCGCAAACGCTCGCGAATCACCCAAGCGGCAAAGAAGTAGCGAAGGTTGAAAGCGACAAGAGAAGGAGACGATGATGATGGCGGCGCAGGCATCGAAGATTAAATCGTTCGATGCGGCGATAGAAGAGGAGCCGAAATCGCAACTCAAGACATCGCTCTCGATGAGCAACATCCTGCAACATCAGCAGGAGCATGCGCGGCTGGTGAAGAAGAAGATGAAGAAAAAGAAGAAGGCGGCCTCGAAGAACAACAAGAAGGCCAAGAAGAGCAAGGAGAGCCTCATCAAGCCGGCAGCAGTAGAGACCAAGCTCGAGGCCTGCATATCGACAGAAGAAATCGAGACCGCCTACCACGCCGCCGACCCAGCTGCTCATTCTCAACCTCGAGGACGAGAACGCGGGCTGAGCCGATCCTCGCCCTCACCGACATCTTCAACGAGAAGATTGGGGCCGGCCCACGGAGGCGCCTGGAGCGATGCCGACGATGAGATCCTGGAATTCGTGAGGGAGGAGACGCCCCTCGATCGCCGCAGCGTCGGTCCGGTCAGCGTCGGTTCGGGTTCGGTCGTCGTGGCCACGTCGACCACCACCACCACGTCGACCACGGCTTCGCCCGCTCTACCTTCGAAGAAGGGCAAGGGCAAGAGCAAAAAGAAGAAGCAGCAGCAGCAGCAGCAACTGCACAACAAGAACACCACCAACGGCGGCGGCGGCGGCGGCGGCTGCAAGAAGAACGGCTCATCGTCGACGAGTGCCAGCCCCAGCAGCGGCAGCGGCAGCAGCAGCAACAACATGGCCGGTACGTCGACGCCGCGGAGCCAAGACGACGAGTTGCGCTGCTGGGACGCCCGAGAGGCGGCAGACGAGGAGGAGGCCTTCGATAAGGAGGAGGAGGCGGAGGAGGAGGACACCGACGAGGAGAGCGGCAGCTGCTCCTCGCGCTACGGCTGGCAGTTCAAGAACGACAAACGTACGTTTGTCTTCTTTGCTGGTGCCGCTTTACTCACGGCCGACCGCACACAACACAACGATAGTGATTGCTGGGCGCGACTGGGCCGAGTTCTATGACAACATGAAGCGACACATCGGCGGTGGCGCCCCGCGTCGCGAGTTTGCGGTACGTCGAACGTCGCCTTCTTCGCTTCTGGGGGGTGTTTGCCTTATGTCGGTCACATGTGTGCTGTTCCAAGATCCGTGTTGCGTTGTTATCTGCGTGTTGGGATTTATTCGTTCTATTTTGTCTTTGCTGCTTTTTCATTTGACCGTCACCTAAAATAACTAGCGAACCAAAACGCGCGGATAAAAAGTCCTGTTTTTCAGTTTTTCCCCATTTTCCGCTTCTTTCTTTATGCACGTGTGACTCTCCCATGTTGTGGGCTGACCCCTTTGTGGCTTCTTCGCTTTGTGATGTGACAAACAGATGCTGGATGAAGACGCCGCCCGCGTGTACGCCAAGCGCACGGACGACTTCTCGTGTGCGGTGGCGCCGCTCAATTTTCAGAAGAACCGCTACGGCAACATCCTGCCCTGTACGTGTACCACTTCGTCCTCAAGCGCGTGCGTGCGTCTCCGTACCCAAAGACTCACCTATCGACTACAGACAACCAGAACCGGGTCAAGCTGGCCGTCGCCGACGACCAGTCTGACTATGTCAACGCCAGCTACGTCAAGGTACCTTGCCTTGCTTCCTCCCCGCCCCGTCTTCTGTGCTTTCTTTCTTCGACCTGACCGTCTGGACCCTCGCGATGCAGCTCGATGACGTGTTGCCCGGTTTCCAAGACAAGATCACCTACATCGCCGCCTCGGCACCCATTCCCTCTACCGTCGAGGTACCCTCTCATACTCTTGCCCCGCTCCTGCCCCGCTCCTGCCCCACTCCTGCGCCCCTGTCGCTGTGTTAACAAATATTTGCTATAATAATAATAATAATAAATATTGTATTACTAATACTAATAGGATTAATAATATTATTAGTAGTATTATTATTAGTTTTGTTATTAATAATAATAATTCAATTGCAGGACTTTTACCGTATGCTGTGGGAAACGGAGACGTTTGGCATCGTCATGCTTACGCGAAACGAAGAGGGAGGCAGAGTGCGTCCCCCCCTCTTCTTCACCAACCAAACAGCTACAGCTGGTCCTATCACAAATAATTACTGAGCGGCTGACCGACCTATGCGTGTTTGTGTGTCTCCGCAGCCCAAGTGCCACCAGTACTGGCCCGAGGACAACGACAAGCAGACCTACGGGTGCTTCACGGTCACCAACGTGGAGGAGATCGACAACAAGAAGCATTCGTTCCTCGTCAGGCGATTCGTGGTCGAAAAAGTACGCAATTCGCCTGTGCGTGCGATGTGTGGTGCACCGTGTGCGCACACGGCTGACAAACATCGATTCCCTCCGCACACGCACACAGGCAAGCGAGACGCGGGAGATCACGCAGTACCACTATCTTGCGTGGCCCGACCACGGGGTGCCCGAGTCGTCGGAACCGCTGGAGGAAATCATAAAATTGATCAACGAGCGAATGCGCGAGGTCGGCAAAACCAACGCACTCAAGGAGCCCACCCTGGTGGCCCACTGCAGGTTGGTTGCCCGTGCCTCCTTGTTTGTGTGTCGTGTGTGTCGTGTGTGTCGTGTGTGTGGTGCGCGTGACGTTACACCATACCAATGACTCACCGCCGCCTTTATTCGTTTTGCATTACAACACAACACGGCAGTGCGGGCATTGGACGAACAGGCGCCTTCATCCTCATTCACACCATCCTCAACCTCCTCTTTCAAGAGATCAAAGAGGTACCCTTTGTTATTCATTATTTCTCTTTATTATTATTATTATTATTATTATTTGCTATTCATTTATTTATTATTATTTGTTTAAATTGTGCTAAATCGGACGCATGACAATTAGGGGGACACTGAGAGTCTTACGCGCTGGACGTCGAAGGCGCCACCGACCATCGATTTTGTGCACCTGGTGCAGCACATGCGAAACCAGAGGACCTGCATGATCTCCCAGCCGGAGCAGGTACCCAAACCTGCCGGGTGTCGCGTGTGCGTCGTGCGTCGTTGTCTTTTGCTCACCACCTTCGTGCTCCGCGCAGTACGAGTTTTGTTATCAGACGGTGCTCAGCAATCTGGGCCGCGCCCTCCAATACACGCCACGCAAGTGCGAATCGGGCTCGCCCTCTCCCAAGCACGTCGATGTACGTGAGTTTCTTCGTTCTTCTTCGTTCTTCTTTCTTTTTCTTCGTTTTCTTCGTTTTCTTCTTATGTCGTCGCTTTCGCTCTTTCTGAAGAAAATGGCTCCTCCGGTGCAGGGTCGAGTGGGAAGGAAGACTTCGCTGGGCGCCATCCCGAGACAGAAGAGCTGCGTTCTGTTCTGACGACGGACATGCGTGCCCGTTCCCGCCCGACGATGATGAATGATGATGGTTGAGGAAGAGAGAATATTCCTCCAGCCGGCGAACAGCGTCGAGTCAAGTGCGTCAAGTGCTACGACCATCATCTCAATCCACCCCTTGTAACGAAACCCCCCCCCCTAATCCCGCAAGCTGCGCTACTTCCTACCCTCCTCTTTTGTAACTACAAAGCCATTCACCTCCTCCACTGTGCACCTCAGAGGCGTTGATTGGTTTACATCATTTCCTCTTCAACAAATCAAAAACAAATCTCAAGGACTTGGTTTTTGTTTTGTTGCACTGAACGTTGGTTGAACTAGTTTGGCTTGCTGTGCGGCCATGGACGAGGTGCCTCCTGCTCGCGTGGACGAGTCGTGTCTCACCGAACAGCACCTGCGCATCCTGCCCTTCCTGCTTCTTGGCGGCGGCGGCGACAGCCACTTCGAAGGATCCGTCGTCCTGGGTCATCCCCGCCAGGAGGAGGTGTGCCCCATTCATTGCCCATCATCATCGACGTGTCCTTTGTTTTGATCATTATCGCCGTCGTCGCACCAGGGAGTCCGTTGGGCGGCCCCGGCCCGGATCGGCGCCTGGACGCCCACACTGGTCGAAGCTCTCCGATGTACTCCCTCACAAGAATGAGAGCCTATCTGGTCGGCCGACCACTGACTCTGTGTTCTTAACGCAGTTCATTGTCTACGCCCAGGCGAGGAGATCGTGGAGGTGGTTGCGGGCGACACCAACAGCGCAGCGATAACGAGGTGTGGCCAGGTCTTCATGTGGGGCTCGTGCCGGTCCTGCATCGACCTGGCGTCGAACGACCCCACGAAGCCTACGCTCGTGGAGGCGCTGAGCGGCACTCCAATCGCGGCCGTGGCGCTTGGCGAGTGCCACTGCCTGTTCCTGACCACCGATGGCCTGGTCCTCTTGTGCGGCCTCGACTTGTATGTACAGCCCGCACACACGTTGCGTGGCCACGCAAGTGGTGTGCCTCTGGGCCACCTGGGTCACCACAGCACTAACTGGGGTGGTTGATGGGTTGGTCTGTCGCGCAGGTACCACAGCGGCCTTAATTGAGGCTTTAGATTTTGATATGATCAACTACAACAATATTTTGTGTTTGGCACAGTCATTTTAGACCTCTCATTTCAAATGAGTGGTTCCCCACAGGTCTCTCACAGGTGGGCACTGTGGTGAGTTGCCTGCACAGGTTCAGTTGCCCTGTGGCTTGCTGTGTCAATGCATATCCTGTGGGATGACAAACTGAAAACTTGACAAGAAACTATCAGTTGTACCAAAAAAAAAGAAAGCAACATGCACAGTGCCTGCTGTGGACATCCTGATGATGGTTTCCCCTGCCAAAGTGCCAATTCACAGCAAAAAACCAGCATAGTAGTACTTTTCAGTGAGGGGGGTGGGTAGCCGCCCAAGCCTTAAGTTATAATCAGGGTGGAAATTGTTGGGGTACATGTGTGGTGGACGGATACGGCCATACTGCGCAGAAAGCACCGCTTCCCATCCGAACAGCGAAGTTAAGCTGCGCCAGGCGGTGTTAGTACTGGGGTGGGCGACCACCCGGGAATCCACCGTGCCGTATCCTCCTTTTTTGCTTGCTCACCTTCATCTTCATCGCACACCGTCACCACGCTCATTGTTGTCCTTCTCTTTTTTTTTGATCCCACCAACCCCAACCCAACCCCAAACCCGCTTTGCCTTCTTCAGCAAGCTGCTGTTTGTGGAGGCCTTTTTTGCACTAGAGAGACAAAGTAAACAAACCAAGAGGTGTCACAACGTGATGTGAATGTTGTTCAGGTGGCGGGGAGCGGTTGTGGGTCGCGCCAGCGGACGCTCTGCATCTTGGCGGTGGCCTTCTGCTTCATGGCGGCCTTCTCTTCGTCGGTCATCGTCGTCTCCTTGCACAGATGGGGCCGCGGCGCGTTGGTGGCCGCCTCCAGAAAGGTCTCGATGACGTCGTCACCATCACCGCCGTCAGGCGGCAGGGCGAACTTGCCCTCCGTGATGGCCTGCTGGAGCTTAATGGCGCGCACGCCTTTAAGGCGCCGGAGTGACGTCAGCACTCGCTGATCAGCGCCCACCTTAAGGTGGAGGAGTGCGCACCGTCGACTGTGACACCCAGCGAGTGGCACGAGCCGAGCACCTCCTTGAGAGTGCCCACGAATGCGGCCGCCTGCGATCGGCCCCACACGCGCTGCTGCTTGGCAATGGCGAACACCGCGGCCGTCATGATGTCCGCCTCGTGCGAAACTAACTCCGAGCGATGAGTGCCGCGTGTCGTGTCGTGTCGTGTCGTGTCGTGTCGTGTCGTGTCGTGTCGTGTCGTGTCGTGTCATGCGCAGGGCGTACACTTCTTCTTGCGGCTTTCGGGTGGTCGCGTTTTCACTTCATACCCGCCTGCGCGCACGCAGATCAGTCACAGGCCAGCGACGAAGACTTCAGGGCCAGTTGGGAGCGTAGTTGAGAGCTCTATTGATACCCTTCTGCAGCCCGCAAGCGATGAGGTTGCGCTCGGAGATGTCGGGCGGGATGTAGGACGACGCGCGTAGGATCATTGTCGACACGCTGGGCGCGACCACCACTTCGGCCGTGCGTGCTGCGTGAGGCAAGGTGAGGCCAGGTGGTGTGGAATGGGGAATGGGGACCATCAAGAAGAGAAGAAGACTGGTGTGGCGGAACGCACTATTGGGATGGAGGTGGACGAGGAAGTCGATCTTGTAGTTGAGCCAAGGCTTGATCTTGTCTTCAATCGCCTGGCAGATGGGTCGAGGCGCCTGCAGCACATACAGTATTAATTTATGGATTTATTTATTTATTACAATTATTTATTGAATTTTTACGTAAAGGGAGGACGGAGTACGATGCCGAGAGGCCCAGTCTTGGGTGCCAACCACGCCGCATGAGGTTGCCTGCCTCCGTACATGCGCGACTTGACTGTGGGAAGGAGGGAGGGAAGGAGCTCATGAGACTTGAGGAAGAACTGCACGCGTGAGCAACGTACTCGTCACAACCTCGGTAGTGTCCGCCCTCTGCATCTCCTGAACAAGCTAGCTTGTGAACTTGAAGTGAAATAACGAGAATGATATTTAATTTTCCTTTTTATATATTCTTCATTTTTATAAAAAACTACTTCCCAGAATTGAAGAAGTAAAGGCCATTTGCTCATGTTGCGCCGTTCGGGTGGAAGCTGGCTCGCGAATGCCTTCCCCTTTGTGCGAGGGGCGCCTGTACGGGAGGTGTTACTAAAAGGGAGCGATCGGCTGCAGATCGCTTCATCTTCGCAATTCATAGCTAGAGCCGGTAATCGTGGCCGATTTGGACCAATTTTCATACAAAGCCGACATGTGAAGACGACAACCCCTCGCCCACGCAAACAGCGCAAGACCAAGGTTGATCAATCCAAGAGCGAAGGTGCGGCGGCAGAGAGCAGCGACGTGCGAGCGCAGATGGAAGAGCTGGCGCGTCGAATCGAGACGGCCAATCGTAGCTACTACGCTGCCAGCGCAGATCAACAACTCAGCGACCCCGGACAAGACGGCATGAGCGACGCAGAGTACGATGCCCTCTTTGACGAATTGAAGCGATTAGAGGAGCGCTTCCCGCAAGTAGCGGCCGCGATCTTCACGGCAGACCGGCCCAGCCCCACCCAGCAAGTGGGCTACCGCCCTCTGACCGAGGTACTACGTTCCCACACGGCCCGCGTCATGTTGCAGCTCAGCTGACCCATGAGTCTGATGCTCTCCACCAGGAGAGCGGCTTGCTTGAACACGCGACGCCGATGCTGTCGCTTGCCAACACGTATGATCCCCAAGGTACCTTGTGGGCACCCGATGTCTACTGATCGTGCGGTGTGTGCGGTGTGTGCGGTACCTTGTGCTCACATGCTTGTGGCAGAACTGGCCCAGTTCGACACTCGGGTGCGCAAGCTGATATCAGCAGCACCTGCGTCCCCTGACGTACAGGTACGTGAGCCACTCTTGCAAAGGGGGTCGCATAACGGAAAACCTTGATGACCGCCAGTCGCTCCTGACTGCCACCACAATTCTCAGAAGCCCATCGAATACGTGGCCGAGCTCAAATACGATGGCGTCGCGGTGAGTCTGCACTACCAGGACGGGAAGCTCGTGCGGGCGCTGAGCCGAGGCGATGGCCGGTCAGTCTACACTTGTTTGCACTAGGCTAGGCTCACACTTGCGGCTGATTTTTCTCGGATCTGTGGCCACAGGGTGGGCGAGGACATCACCGGCAAAGTGAAGCGGCTCACCGGTGGAGTGCCGATGCGAGTGGGTACCTGTCAGTGAGTCTCGTATGATGGCCTTTGCAACCGCGCCAGAAAACTGATCTATCTCTGATTCCTCGTGTGGCTCGGTCTCGTTCCAGACGTTTCGTCACTGCCCACGAAAAACTTCGAAGTGCGGGGCGAGCTGGTGATGTCGAAAGAGCAATTCGCGTCTCTGAACGCTGCGCAGCGCGAAGTGGGCGAGAGGGAGTACTCGAACCCTCGCAACTTGGTCGCGGGGGTGCTCAACAGGTACTTTCTCTTTCTCAGGCCTGCCCTTGTTACCGTGTCTCACTCACTCACGACGTGGTGGCTGGCGCGGCATTGCCACCAAACTGTCACCAGGAAGCAAGACACGGACCTGGGCTTGCGCAAGAAGCCGTTCAATCTCATATGCTACACACTCATGAGTCTCTCTGATGGTTCGCCCGTCATCGCTCTTCGCTCTTTCGTCGCTTTCACTCTTTCCGGCCTTCAACCATTCCTATGTTAATTTTAATTTTTGGTTTGTGTTTGTGTTTGTGTTTGTGTTTGCTTTGGATAGAAGGCGAGGCTGGGTTGCCGCCGTCGCACCAGGCGCGGCTGGAGTGGTTGGACCGCAGGGGCTTCACGGTCGACTCCCGAGCAACACTGTGCGGCGACCTGGCGTCGATGGTCAAGTTCGTCGGCGAGTGGGACAACACGGAGCTGCGCGACGCGTTCCCCTATCTGATCGACGGCGTCGTGGTCAAGGTCAACGCCATCGCCCAGCAGCAGGCCCTGGGCGCCAACAACCGGGCGCCCAAGTGGGCCGTCGCCTACAAGTTCGGGGCCAGCAAGGCCGTCACGCAGCTGCTCGACATCGTCTACCAAGTGGGCAGGTCGGGCAAGGTCACCCCCGTCGCCGAGCTGCATCCCGTGCACCTGATGGGCTCGCTCATCTCCCGCGCCACGCTCCACAACACGGCCTACGTCGAGCATCTCGCCCTCAAGAAGGTATGTAGGGCCGATCTTCATACGCGCGTTGGCTCCGTTACACGGCAACTGACTGGTATGACAACTTGCGCACCCCAGGGAAACATGGTGACTGTTGAGAAGGCTGCTGACGTCATCCCCAAGGTTAGCGGCGTCGTTGCGATGAATGACAACAACGACAACGGCGGCGTTGATGAGCTCACCAAGGCGCCGCGCTGTCCGTGCGAGCGACGCGTTGCGTTGGTGCGCGAGGACATTGATCTCCACTGCCGCGAGCCGAGCTGCCCCGAGGTGGCCGTTGCCAAGATCGTGCACTTTGCCTCCAAGCAGGCCATGGACATCGAGGGCCTGGGCGAGGGCCTCGTGCGCGACCTCTTCCGCCAGGGCCTGCTGCGCTCTGCCGTCGACATCTATTCATTGCTGGATGACGACGACAACGACGCCGGCGACGTCAGCAAGCGAGCCGCGTTGGGCGAGCGCAAGGGCTGGGGCGAGAAGAAGATCGCCAACCTCCTGCGGAGCGTGGAGCAGAGCAGGCACAGCCGAGACCTCTCCTCGTTCCTCTTCGCTCTCGGGATTCCGCACCTGGGCAAGCACACCGCTCAATTGCTGGCCGTACGCCTGTGTGTGTCGTGTGTGTGTCGTGTGTGTGTGTGTGTCGTGTCGTGTAGCTGATTTTGCGATGTGTGCAGGACCATTTCAAAAGCTTCGAGTCGTTGATGGCGGCTACGGAGGAGGACCTGCGTGGAATGCACGGCGTGGGCGACATCATTTCTTCATCGGTCGCGCACTTCCTCCACGATCCAAAGAACAGAGAGGACCTCCAGCGGTACTACTGATGTCGTCTCCCCTGTGTCGCGTGAGTGGCGTGTGTTGTGTGTGCTCACCAGCATCGTCCAGGTTGTACGCCATCTGCAAGCCCAAGGAGAACACGGAGCGATCGCGGGCTAGAGCGGCCAGGGCGAACGGCGAGGAGAAGCCACCAACGTGCAGCGTCTCCTTCACGGGCACGCTGAGCGGCATGGCCAGACACGAAGCCTCTGCGGCTGCTGTCAGGTGAGTCTCGTCCGTCTCTCTGTCTGTTCAATTCAACTCTGAACGACACGACCAACGACACGACACGCAGTGCTCTCGGGGCGGTGGTGAAGCCGTCGGTGACGCGAGGCCTCACGATGCTGGTGTGCGGCGACAAGCCCTCGCCGGCCAAGGTCAAGAAGGCGCGCGAGCTCGGCGTGGAGATCGTCTCCGAAGAACAGTTCCGTGCGCTGCTCCTTCGCCAGCGACAGTCACCCGAGCCGCCGCAGTGAATCTGGGGTACCACCACCACCACCACCACCACCACCACCACCACCACCACCACCACCACCACCACCACCACCACCACCACCACCACCGTGCACATGAATGACGAGCCATTATGTAATGTTGTTTCGGACTGGACTGGCTGACATTGTCTCAGTGTGTTGTGTATTTATCATTTATTTTATTTCCATGTAGAAAACCCTGGGTACAGGAATGGTAGGCAGAGGTTTCATCAGCGAAGCCCCTTCCCATGCAGGAGTTGCGGAGAGGTCCTGGATGCGACAAGTCGCCCTCTGTTGGCCAAAAGAGAGAACAACACGTCGACACCACCCATAAAAGTGTAATAGTCGACGCAAAACCAGGCCGAGGAAGGTGGCGGAGAAGAGTCCAAGACGAAGTCGACGCTTGTGCCGTTGCGCCAGACCCGCTCTTCCCTCCCCTTCGTTGAGTTCGCACAGCCCCCCGGCCCGCAACAGCAGCCTTCACATAGTGCCTTCCGCCCGCGCCCAACCCAGGGAAGATGTCGCGCACGAAGTCGGCCTCAAGGACTGTACTTCTTCTTTTCTTTGTTGTGCTCGTCGGGTGCGTGGCGCACGTCCACGGCTGGGGCAGTCTCGGACATCGCACCGTCGCGCAGCTGGCCTACGACCGCCTCACCCCGCAAGCCAAAGCCGTACTCCACCACACCCACCCACACTCGAGTTCTTCTTCTCCTTCTTTTGTTCGGGGGTTGGGCCATTTAGCCCAACATGTTCGTATGAACGGGCCTCGGAGTTAAAAACTTAGGTATGTGGACTTGTGGTCCGGCGGGGTCAAACAGGTGGTCGACAGGTACCTCGATGGCTCCTCGCTGGCCAGCGCCGCCGTCTATCCCGATGCCTACCGCTCCAATGTGCGTGTGCGTGCGCGTGTGCGTGCGCGTGCGGTCGTGTTGCAAGTCCGGGGCGCAAGATGAACTCACCCGCACGCGCGTGCATCTATCTGCAATGCAGGGAGGCGCGTGGAGCAGCAGCCTCCACTATGTGAACTTCCCGAGGGACGCCACCCACTACCTGCCGACCTACTGCGGCAACCCGGCCCAGTGCGTCGTCGCCGCCGTCGCCAACTACACCCGTACCACACCTCCTTCACTATTATCTGTAATTTTATTTATTCATTTATTAATATATATCTATTTATTCAATATATTGTCAGGGCGGGTGAACCAGGAGGGCCTCAAGGGACCCATGTGCGGCTTCACCAAGGGCCAGATGCCCTGCCCGCTCTCGTTCTTGACCCACTTCCTCGGCGACATCCACCAGCCGCTCCATGTACGCGTGTGCGGTCGTGTCTCGCTTGAGAGTTTTGTCTACTTTTATCAAAGCCGCACCAACATCTTGTGTTGCGGTGTGTGCGGTGTGTGCGCGCGGCACAGTGTGGCTACTCTGATGACAAGGGCGGTAACAACGTGAAGGTCACCTTCTTCGGCAAGTCCACGAACCTGCATTCGCTGTGGGACTCTGTCATGCTCGAGCGGTACCCTCACTCTCCCTCTTCTCTTTGAAAGTAGCAACTCATGTTTTCTGCATTTTTTTTCGCATCTTCTTTGTTGGGGCGGAGAACAGGTTCGAGCCGAACCAGAAGCTGCTGGTGCAGTACCTGGAGGAGAAGATCGCCGACAGCCCGGCCAAGGTCAAGCAGTGGCTGAGCGCCATGGACCCCGCCGGGTGGGCCGAGGCCAACTTCCAGATCGTCCGCCACGACGCCTATCGATTCCAGGACCCGCAGGGTACTTCATGCCGCACACGCACACGCACACGCACACGCACACGCACACGCACACGCACACGCACGCACGAGGGCGGGGCGCTGATGTGAACATTTTGCGCAGCAGCGCGTGCGGTGGAGATCACGGAGGAGTACTACGCCCACAACGCGCCCATCATCCTGGACCAGCTTGCCGCAGCCGGCGTGCGGCTGGCCTACCTCCTCAACTCTGCCTTTGCCTGAGAGTGAAGCGTAGAGAAGAAGAAGAAGAAGATGTTGGTTTGTATAACATACAGCATGCCCGACGCGACCCAACATTCTACGTTAGGCGTTGAGCTTCAGCTGTTCTCGTCCCCTGCTGGCGTGGCGGTGTACTCGGCGGGCAACATCGTCGTGGCCGACTTAGTCAATCTTGGCCCAGACTGGCGCCAAGGGGTCTGGCCCCGGACAGTTCTCGTTCCCTCGTGGCGTGGCGGTGGACTCGGCGGGCAACATCGTCGTGACCGACACCTTCAATCATTGAGTGCAGGTGTTTGGCCCAGACTGGTCGTTCATCTGCGCAATCGGCTCGCAGGGTTCTAGCCCCGGACGATTCTGGCACATCAGCATGTTGAACAACGCATCACTGAAGCCCTACATCAACATTGCTGTTGCCTAAGCCAGGATGCACAAAGGAATGTGGTGTTAGAAACCACAAGATTCTGGCATGGGACAACCCAGGGCAGTGCCTACATAAGGGAGCTTACTGCAGACTCACAACTGATTAAGTTACTCTCACCACCCAATTTCCGCCCACTATCACTTGACCAAGTGGGTGGTACCCAGGCGAAAAACCTATGGGAAACTGCCCTGGGTTGTCCAGGACAGTGGAGCCCACAGCCTATAAATTAAGGAATAGATGGGCTAGCACTGCATTGCAGCCTCCCACAACATACAACAATGAGCAGCAAGAGCAACAACGACAGGTCCAACGCCTTCAACCCTCAGGTTCGCACCATCCAACATACCAATTCTGTCTCTGTTGCTCATCCTCACTGCCTTCCATCAGTCAAGTGCCTACAATCCTACAAGCGAAACGTCAGGTCAGGCCATGGCAAGTCGCTCTCAGGGCTCCATGGATGCTCGTGCAGCATCCTTCAACCCGCAGCATCCCGCTTACAACTCCAACACTTCATCAAAGGGTGGTGGCCACAAGTGAGCCACAATTGGAGGAAAACAAATGAAATACTCATGGCCATCCTACTTTGTTGATCTTGGGGGCTAACAACGAAAGGCACGTCTCTGATGCCGGTCTTTTCTTGCCTCAGCGCGAGCCATATGATGTAAGCATGTTGCAAGCAAGGCACTTTCGCGTTCAAGCCTGGCGAATGGGACATTGGTTGAGTCGGCGGGCTGAGACATGATCGTCATCATTCGTGACACGCGTACAAAGGGGGTGTGAGTGCTAGAGAAAGAGAGTGAAAGTGAAGAACGCAGAGGGGCAGGGGAGATTGCAGAGCAGACACAGGTGGTGGTTTCCTTGCGTGCATTCCATAACAGGTTTGTGTGGTCGCCTCTCTTTGGCTTGCCCGGGAGCAAAGTTCCACAACCTCACGTGGCTTGCTTGGCTAGACGAACGGAAACGGTCAGCCCAGCGCTGGTCGATCAAGCCAAAGTCAAGACTCGACACTCAACATCAACAACACGGTCCGCAAGGAGAAGGAGGTGAGAAATTGAGAAATTGAGTTCAAGAAGGCGCCTGCCAGGCATTCTAGCGCTCGTGCGTGAACAGAAGCCTGATGTGCTGTTCCTTGTCGAAGTCACTCAAGCCAAACACAAGAACCTCTTGGTCTTCAAGTTGAGCTCTTCGTCGCTCGCGTGCTCCTCTGCCATGGCAGCAAGGTCGCAATGCCCAAAACACAGTTCTTGCTCGGTGTTACACACTTTCCCATCCATGCTGCGTCCAGCGTTGCCTGAACCGAGGCCCTTCGCCAGCCCTGTCTTTGGCAAGTTTGACAGTCCTCTCTTCACCGACATGTGCTTCATCCCATCCGCCCGACGACGACAACACCACGCGTTGGCAGAGTCACACAGTTTTGTTGCCTCCCCAGAATTTGCACCCTCTGCGCAGTAGTATCACCATCTGGTGCGTTTCTCTTCAGCGCCTGCGCTTGCGGTTGGCCTCAGCGAGTCGCGGGGCGGCTGTGGTGGCCTTCTTGGACTCCTTGTTGGCTCCCTTCTTGGGCTCTGCTGTTGTGGCTCCACCGGAAGCCGCATCGTCAGGTGAGTTCCTCCCTATTCATGCAAAGCGAAAAAAAAAAAATGTGGCCGTCGTACGCGTCGCTGTCGTGGTGGCGGTGCTGACTGGATTCTTCTTGGGCCTCGCCGCTGGAGGGAATGACTTTCGTACCACCTCAACCTCCCTGTCCACTTCCTGCACGAGGGCATTGATGGATGAAGTATTGCGATGATCAGGCATAAGGAATAAAAGCGAAAGCGAAAGCGAAAGCGAAAGCGAAGAGGAGGATGAGGAAAGAGGGAAGGGAGCACGCACCCGCATTTCGGTCTTGGTGAGCGTCTTGAGAGTGGAGGCCATGACGTAGATGTCCGACCCCTTGGGGTTGAAGATGAACGCATTCTGGAACAGGAGGTACATGTCCCTCAGGAACTCGATCTTGCTACTAATCACCTGTTCCCAACCAGCACCCTCAAGTGTGAGATGACACCGCACACGACATGACACCGCACACGACACACACACACACACACACACACACACACGACAGAAGCTCGTGGCGTGTACCCCTGTCTTGATGCGGTTGGTGATGGTGGTAAAGTCCATGGGGCGGTAGATGATCCTGGGGTACTCCGGCACGTCCTCGACCGACACCGGCTGCAAAAAGGGCTTGGCGTAGTGGTGCGCCTTGACGGTCGCCAGCACGCGCCGCACGCCTTCCATCTCCACCCTCCGCACCGCCGCCTCGGCCTCCGCCTCCATGTCGTCCGCTCCGCTTTCTTCCTCTTCTTCGTCTTCGTTCTTTGTCTCCGCTTCGTTTTCTTCATCATCCTTTGCCTCTTTCTTTTCCTCCTCCTCTTCGCTTTCCTTGGCCTTCATCGTCTCCTTCTTCGCTTGCTGGACCCTCTTTTCTTTCATCGGCCTCTTCTTCGCCTCCTCGCCGCTCGCTGAGGCCTCGACCTTCACGCCGTCCTCGTCTTGGTCGTCGATCACGACGACAGTCTTGACCTCCTCGGCCTCGGCTTCCTTCTCCTCGGCTTCGGCGGCCGGCTTTCTTCTCTTGTAGGTCCGCTTGGCGGTGTTGACGCTCTGCCTCTTCGGACGGCCCCTGGGCTTCTTCTGCTCTACCACCACCGGCTCCTCCTCTTCTTCTTCCTCCCCCTCCTGCTCTTCCTCTTTCTTCTCGACATCTGCCTGTTCCACTTCCGTCGCCTTCGCGTCATCTCGTCGCGTCTCATCCTTCTCTGTCTCCAGCGCTGCTTCTTCTCTTTCTTCTTTTACTTCCTTTTTGCCTCTGTCGTCTTCTTCGTTGAAGCTCGCCGCCTCCGCCTCCGCCTCCGCCTCGACCTCTACGTCCATCTCTGTCTGCGTCTCGCCCTGCGGACTCGCTTTCGTGTCGGCCGGCGGCGGCTTGGCCGCTTCCTCGATCATTGCGTCGTGGTCGCCCTTCTCGCCGGCACCAACGGTCGGCAGCGCTTCGGTCTCGAAGTTCTCCCAGAGCAGGTCGGTCGAAAACGAAGCGCCGGCGTTGGGCGACGGCTGATCCTTCTTGATGCCCTCCGGTGCTGCGGCGGTCGGTGCCAACGAATCCTGCTTCGGCCCAGCAGCCTCCTCCGGTGCCGTGGCCGCGCTTACCACCACCACCAGCGGCGGCGCGTTGTCTTCAGTAACCGACGTTGGTGCCGTGGCCGTGGCCGTGGCCGTGGCGGCGTCTACCTCGCCCGCAGCCGGCCGCAGCGGTTCGGCGGCCTCGACCGCGTCGCGGGAGTTCGGCTCGGCTGCCGCCGGCTGCAGCTCGACAGACTCGGCGGCGTCGGCGGCGGCATCCGCGTTGGCGTAGGATGCGCTGGTTTCGACGAGCAGGGGGTCGTGGTAGGCGAGGGACGCGGCAAGGTCGTCGGGCGTGGGGAGGAGCTGGGGCTGTTGCGTCCAGGTCTCCTGCTGGGCGAGGGAGGCCGGCGAGGCCGGCGCCGATGACAGTGACGAGACCACGGGCAGGGGCAGGGGCTCCTCCACCACCATGCCCAGCATCACCGCCGTCATCGTGGGTGTCTCCAGCGGCACGCTGCTGCTCAGAGTCTGGTCGCTTTCCAGTTGTGGTGCACCCTGCAGCTCGCCGACTTGCGCGCTCTCGACGGCGGTCGGCTCGGCGGCTTCAGCCACGGCCTTGGTGGGCTCGGTACTCGCCTCGGCTTCAGTCTCGGCAGGCCGAGAGGCCGGAGCAGCAGGTGGTGGCTCGGTGGGCGCACCGTTGCGACCGACACCAGTTGAAGTGGTGGTGTCCACAACAGCGGTGGCATCTTCTGCGTGTGGCGGCTCACGGCGAGCCTGTCGACGACGAGGAGGTGAGTCATTGACCGTGGCCGCGCAGAATTGGTGACACGGTACCTTCTTTGTGGGCGGCTGTGCGGGTGAGAGAGGGGACGAAGGCGCATCGGTACCGGCAGGCAATGGCGACGCCGGAGCCACGGCAGAGGCGTCGAGCGGGCTCTTGCCGTTATCCTCGAGAGACCGGCGCTTGCGAGGAGGCGAAGCGGTGCCCACCACAGACGCGGCGGCCGGCGGACTCTGACCGGCGGCACGGAATCGCTTCTCTTCTTCGTAATGTGCGAGGAGCTCCTCGTCCAGGTCTCCAGCGTTGATGCGCGTCATTCTCTCTGTAGACTTTCTGCAAAGGTAGCATCCAAGATCAGACATGCGTACACGCACACGCACACGCACACGCACACGCACACGCACACGCGAAACACGACACACACGACACACACGACACACACGACACACGCACGACGGCAATGTGCACAAAATGACACAGCACAGACTCATAAGAAGGAGCGTACTCGATCTCGGAATCACAGAGTTCGATGGATTTGCGAAGGTGGTTCATGTACTCTTCTCGCAGCGCTGCCACGACGCGATCCAGCCCCTCTTGAATAGGCATTCACAAAGGGAAGAGTCGATGTGAGCAGCAAGATGGAGAAGTAGACGAAAAGTAACGAGCGCGGTACCCGCCAAAGTCCCGTTGCTGGCCGACAAGCTCTGAGCCCCAGCAGGTATCCCGTGGCGAGCCAACTGCGTGTCATACATTGCCATGCATCGCTACAAGAGAGGATTAACGCGAATAAAAATTAATAATAAAAACAATATCAAAAACAAAAGAACAGTTGAACTGTTGAACCTTAGAACCAAAGCTGGTGGGGGTGGTGAGTCGCTTCTTGGGGATGTGCTTTCGCAGGAGGCGACTGACGGCAGCCCAATTCACATCGCGCTTGCCGTCCTGCCCACCAGAATCTCCTCGATTGCCATTCCCAGCGCCGTTGCCCCCGCCTGCAGCGCCACTAGTCACTGCCTCCACCAGTAGCAGCTTGTCTCTCGGCTTCCACTGGTCTTCATCGACCTCCATCCCTCTTGCAAGGCGAATTAATCAAAAGTGAAAAATGACAAAACAAAGTCGCTTGTTGTTGACGTGCTGACGTCAGCACGGACAGCCAAATTTCCTTCCGCTTTTCTCTTCGGCTGTACATGGGGCCGGAAGGCTCGGCACGGTTGGCCTCCTCGGCAAGGGCTGCACTTGCTCCTTTACCTCCAACTCGAGCACACGCGCATCAGCAAACCGGGTACTTTTTGTCCAACCATCTTCTCTTCTCTTCACTTGATGATTTTTCCTGCATGGTGAAGATGATGACTCATCCTTTGCCAATTCATTCTTGCTCTACGCTGCCGGATGACCACGAAGGTACCATGGGCATAGATTTGAGGAAGGAGGGTGGGGCAAGAGGAGATGGAGGTGTGCAGAGCCAGAAGCGGCCCCCGCGCCGGGCAGCGCCGCTACGCTTTCGCTTCTACCTCGGAGGCGCCGTGGCAGTGCACCTGACCGCCGCTGCGAGCCTCATCTACGGCCTCTACCTGCTCCATCCCTTCCTACTCGTGCTCTTCCTCCTTGGCGTCGGTCTGGAGATGAACAGGGTGCGTCACCATCTTCTCTCTACTCTCTACTTTCTGTCATCACAATGGGCGAGGCTCACACAAGCTCTACATGCATTCTCCTCCTCCAGCGTCGGATGAGCACGAGACCGTTCAAGAGCGCCTGGCAGGTGCCCGATGCCGCGTCGTGGCAGAGGAAAGGTGGGACCTGCTGCGGCCCAGCACACGTAACTCTCGACTCACTCAACTCACAACACACACACACCACGCACACACCACACACACGCACACACACACTACGTGACATACAGGAGATCGACTTGCGGATCTGATCGTGGAGTCGGGCCTCTTCAAGCCCAACGCCATCAAATACGAAAACATTCTGCGCCTGCTCGCCAGCAAGGAGCAGGAGCAGCGAAAGCAGCACCTCGAGCATCAGCATAAGCAGCAGCAGCAGCGCCTCGACGACGAGACCGACAGCGAGGAGGTGGAGGCCCGCACGGCGAAGGAGGTGCTCGTGTACAGAGAGATCATTGATGAGCTCGAGAGCGTGCCGGGGTGGGTCGACTGGCAGAAGATCGAGCGGGGGCGCCAGGTGTACAGGGACCACCTGGTGCTCATCTGCGCCGGCCTGGCCATCGCCCTCATCGAAGCCTACTCATTTCCCATCGACGCACAGGTACCCGTGCACTGCAGCACATTATTTCCGCCATAAACGCTAACAACTTAATCGGACACGACCAACGACACGACACGACCAACGACACGACACGACCAACGACACGATACGACACGCAAGGTATTGTACATAAGCGGAGGACTGACGGCGTCAAAGAAAGCGGCATCCCGACGGCTCATGGAGACCGGCTACTGGATCTTCACCGTCATGAAAGAAGGTCCTTCACACACGACACGTTCTCCGTCGCCTCTGTGACGTGTTGGCAGAGTTGGCAGTGCGGAGGAATTCCTCAACAACGGTCATTGTGTGCCGTGTAGGAGTGCGCGTGGGCTCGAAGGGCCATGCCGCGTGCGTCAACGTGCGCTTAATCCATGCGCTCGCCCGGAAGCTGTGCCTCATGTCGCCGGAGTGGAGCCAAGGCCACACCACCCTGGTACACTCACGTCAGTAGTGTGTATGTGTGTGTGTGTGTGTGTGTGTGTACCCGGCTAACTGTGATGTTGTGTGTGCTGTGCAGAGCGAGGTTGACAACGATGGCCGACAGTTGAGCGAGGAAGAAATGAAGCAGAAGATCAGCGAAAACGGGGCCAACACGCTCCTGATGAAGTTTGTCAAGGTGTCCCAACAGCAGCACCATGGCGGGCAGAACGACGAGACCACCACCGCCAGCGAGCAGGGTGAAAGCGACCCACCACAAGCGGCGGGGCGATCGGGCACCGGTGGTGCAAGCCGAGGTCAGAGCCGCCGTATCCAGGGCGAGCTGCCCATCAACCAGGCCACCCTGTTGGGCACACTCTTCCTCTTTTGCCACGTCTGCCTTGAAGGTTAGCCTTGCTTTATTCCTCTCTGCTCTCCTCCAACACCCGCTCACGCACACGCACAACCGCACACGCACACGCACCACCGCACACGACACACAGTGGCGCAATTGCGTGGGGCCAAGATCACTGAGGAAGAGAAGGAGAGCTACTGGCATCTGTGGCGTTACATCGGCTACATGCTCGGCATCGATGATCAGGTGATGCCGCAGAAATACGACGACGGACTCTCAGCCAGGTATGCCACCAACTTCGTTTCGCACACAACAAAGAAGAAGAAGAAGAATTATAACACAGCCACAACAACAACAACAACAACAACAACAACAACAACAACAACAACAACAACAACAACAACAACAACAACAACAACAACCAACGACGCACCGCGTGTCGAATCAGGTTGGGCGCGATCTACCGGGAAAGGCAGCAACCGGACTACACCAGCAAGCTGCTGACCACGAGCACGGTGGATGCGATGGCCGACCTGCCCAGCATTCCCTTCAATCGTCCGCTCTTCAACGTTTCCATCCGCAAGTTTCTCGGCGAGCCCCTGAGCAATGCGCTGGGCATCGGTATGCTTTTCAATGTGCAGCATACGCACACGCACACACGGCACACAACCGCGGCACACGCACCACCGCACACGCACATGCACACATGCACATGCACACACGCACATGCACACACGCACACGCGCACACTCGGCACACGCACACACGCACGTGGCACACACTCGGCACACGCACACACGCACGTGGCACACACCACACATGCTCACTCTGCTGGCTTCTACAGAGCGGACGGACAGGGCGACCGTGGCGAAGTGGTGGGTGTCGAAGTACTGCTACGTGCTGTGCGACACGTTCAACGTCGTCTTCCCGCCCCTCAAGCAGCTGCAGAACTACCTCTTCTGGCGCTTCGTGGACGAGGTCTACCAGGAGTACTTCACCATTCACCTCCCTCCTCCTTCGCTCCTGCCCGACTCCTCTTCTTCATCTTCTTCTTCTTCATCTCTTTCCTCTTCATCGCCCACAGCATTTTGTCCCTTCCTATCTGGCTCCTCGAGTGGTTCTACACAGAAGGCCACCACACTGGTGCGATGCCCCTTTGGTGGCTGAGGCCAACTGGTCAATAAAATGATAAATGGCGAAGTGGTGTTCGCTAATTGAGTTTTTTGAATAATCATTTAATTACGATCAGTGCGGAGTTAGCCGTTGGTTTACTTGCCATTGGAGGGATAAAACGACCATAATTTAAATATAGGAAGAAAGCTCAGCCGGAGCGAAGAGAACACGCAAGAGAGCAGAGAGGAGTATGCGGTCCGTCACGCGGCCGTCGCTGCCAGTTTGGAAGGTGGGCCTGCTGGTGGTGGCCCTGATCGTGGTCTACTCCTACATGTCCCTCTACGGCGAAGTCGGCGCCCTGTCGCGCTCGCTTCGGCGCGTTGAGCATCTTCTACAGACCCAAGAAGAAGAAGATGATGAAGCGCAGGCCCTCGGACCGACCCAAGAAGAAGAACATGATCATCAAAAAGAAGACGAAGAGGAGCTGATCGAGCGGCGACTCGCCGAGGCCCTGCGAGAAATAGACCGGTACTTACTTGACCCCAACCTAGTCCAGACCTCAGCTGAAGGAACATATAAATGCTTTTTTCAATGTAATTATATCTTTTTTTTACAGAAATAACTATTTATTACATCTTGTGTAACCAACCGCGACTTTGTTCTTTGTGATGGTGGCCGTGGTGGCCGTGGGCGCAGGTTGGACCCGAGCAAGAAGCGAAGGAAGGAGGAGTTCCAGCGCATCTGGGACAACTTCGCCTGGGGACCGGCCGACAGGTACCCGCCACCCTGCACCACTCCTCTCTTCTCTCTCTTCTCTCTGTTTTCATTTTCAAGCGGAGTTCAATGCAGTTCGGTTACTGGAGCTCTGATGTGACCTGACTCGGAGAAACCACCAACAAGGAGCGGACCTGGAAGCACGGCGGAAGCGTCGGCACGGGCCAGGGTGGCCGTCGAGACCGTCGTCCGCCAGTTCGGCATTCGCACCATGCTCGACTCCCCGTGCGGCTCCTTCTCCTGGATGCCCCTCATCAACTTCGAGGCCCTCAACGTCACCTACGTCGGTTCGTCTCCTTCTCTTTTTATTTTTATTTATTTATATATTTTTATAAAAAACACATGTATTTATTTATTAAAATTATTTTGACACCCGGCGGGTGCAGGAGTGGACATTGTGCCGGGCAACATTGAAAAGGCCAAGGCCGCGTGGCCGACCAAGCAGCCGCACGTGTTCCAGTTCTACTGCGCCGACGTGGTCGACGGGTTCGAGTTCGTCGACAAGCTGGTGCTTCAGGCCCAGCAGGACTACCCGACCAACACGCACGACTGGAGCCAGGGCTGGGACCTCATCTTCTCGCGCGAGTTCCTGCAGCACATCCCGCACGAGGCCGTCAAGCGCGTGCTGCACAACTTCAACAAGACCGGCTCCAAGTACCTCCTGCTCACCCACGACCCCTCTCGCGCCATCAACAAGGACATCGAATTCGGTGCGTGTTGTTGCTGTGCAACCAACTCCAACTTCACCAACCAATCCAACAACAGTTGCGGTTTAACAAATGGTTGTTTTTTTAACACTCCTATGGCCGCACACAGGTGGCTACGCGCCGATCAACATGCGGGTGCCACCATTCAACCTTGGTCCACCGCTGGCCGATTTCCCCGACGCCGGCCACGAACGCCTGCTTCTCTACAAGCTGCCGCTCGTGGGCTTCGAGGACTGAGATACCGCTGTTCTTTTGCAAGCCAAGTTTGTGTATACTTTTATAGAGATAATATAATAGAATTACCGTCGTGTAGGCATGTTGTGTGTTGCACAAACCAACATCTTCCTCTCTCTTTTCGCTTTTCTCAGGTAAAGGCAGAGTTGAGGAGGTAGGTCAGCTGCTGGTCCAGGACTGATCGCCAACACCACTGCAGTGAAGTAGAATTGTGACTCTGTAGTAGCAGCTTAGTTGGAGATGAGTATGTTGGAGGGTTGGAGACGTATGGTGTCAGAGAGGTGACCAAATGACACGTTGGTTGGGTGGGCATCAGGCTGGTAATTGTTGGAAATAAAGATAGTCAGACACAGCACACCTGTGGTTGACCCCAAGCCACGTTGACAAGGGGGAACAACATCCAAGAGGCGGTCTGATGGCGGAAGAGAGGTATGGTGGACGGATACGGCCATACTGCGCAGAAAGCACCGCTTCCCATCCGAACAGCGAAGTTAAGCTGCGCCAGGCGGTGTTAGTACTGGGGTGGGCGACCACCCGGGAATCCACCGTGCCGTATCCTCCTCCTCCTTTTTTGCTTGCTGTCCCTTCATCCCAACCTCAACAACCCCATATCCTTTTTGTGCTCCTCTCCTTCCCATTGAACCTCTTATCTTCTCACTGGCAAACTGGTCAGTCATTGTCACATCTTCAAAAGAGACTACTTCCCCTGCCATGCTGTGTCCTTTTTACTACAAGAGAGGGGTGGCTGTGTTGGTAAATGTGACATTCACAGACTAACCCAATGATCTCAAGAGGAAAAAGCCTCACAGAGATCACCACAACCCATTATCTGCTGACCACAACCATCTCATCCACATTGGAGAGTACTGCCAGCCAATCTGCAGGAACTGCACCAAGTTCAAGGATATTGAGGTTGAAATGGGAGCTTTGTGGTAATCTGGCGGATTGAGCACCCAGTTGGTGGTCCCCCTGTTGGCCAAGAGAGCAACAAACCACCACCATGCCTCTGTGAAGGGCATGAGGGGAGCAGTGCCCAAACACCAATAACCAGATTTGGATGTGTGATGGTGGGGTCAGTCTTGATATTCTGCTCCACTTGATTTGAGTAGCTCAATTTACCATCAACTGTCACTGAGTCAGATGGTGGACATTGCAAGACAGGGGACATACATGTGTAGGTTGGGGCCATTGCATTGGGCACCCACAGACCCATGGGTGGAGGACTTGGGTTACAGTTGCACAGCTGAAGAAGCACACTGATGCCTGGCTGAATGGGATTGCATAGTAACCCAAGGTATCCTCCTAGGAATGCTTGTTTGCTGATGCTGCATTCAACCACAGTACTGACTGTTGAAGAAGATTATCACAGGAGCAGTAGTGATCACAGTGGATGACAGGCTTACAAACATAACAACATGGCAAAAGACTCACCAAGGCACAGGGGCACAGAGCCAAGTCATCATCTAAGACATCATCTAAACACACCCACACAAAGACCAGGTGCAAATTTGTGTCTTATTCTAATTTTAAAAATGGATGGAAGCAACACAGCCGACCCTCTGGCCATGGTGCCAGTCGAGCTCGCCCTCCGCATCCTGCGCATGACCCTCACAACCAACACCGCGTCAGGGACGGCCTCCTGCTGGCTCCAGCACGGACCCTTCGCCCCGGCCCAGTTCCTCCAAAGTCTCCACCTCGTGCGCCCTCCCCCCCCAACGCTGTGTTTGTTCTTTTAATTTATTCACTATTTTTAAAATAAAATTCTTTCTCAGGTGAATGTATGGTGGCGCACGGTGGTGACGGCGCACGGCCGCGCATTGTGGCGGCTAGTGGGCACCCAGTTGCACGCCGCACTGCCGCGCGCCTTACGAAAGGCGCCCGTGCTGGACAAGATTCGCCACTTGATCCTCCTCCCGCCGATGGACGGAATGCTTGGCATCCGCCGGATGTGTACGCCCGCCAGGAGCCCAGTCCCACCAGTCCCACTGCCGAAGAGACCAGCCGGAGAGGCGGCAGAGCTAGAGTGGGACTGGGAGGACCACGTCAGGGAATGCTTGAAGGCGCTGCACAGACGCCAACATGTGCGTCTTCAGTGGTGTTGAGTCGCTGTAGCGAACAGCCTACACTCATGTCGCGTGTGTCGTGTGTGTCGTGTGTGTATCGTGTTGCCAGGGACTATGCTGGGCGTCTGCGAAGCCAACAGAAGTGCGCGGCACGGTGACTGACCTGTGGGAGAATCTTGCCGTTTCGTTCAACTTGCGCTCCTTCGGCGTGCACGACACCGTTTCGGGTACCCTTGTCTGTCACGTCACGACACGACACGAGATGACCAATGACACGACCAACGACACGACACGACACGACACGACACGACACTACACGACCAACGACACGACACCTTATTAGTCAGGCCAGCGCGCAGAGTGTGTTCAGCGGATCGTGACACCCGTGCTATTACCCCCAGGAAAATTGATGCGTCTATTCGAGACACGAGGGCTCATGCCGACCATCTTTGTCGCTCTTCGGCCCACGGCAAGCGGAGATCAGGTGCTGGCTGTTCTTGAGCACAATGGTACGCATTCACGCACGCGCACACGCACACACACACCGCACGCACATACACACAGACTGACAACTGACATCTGAAATACAAAAAACTCAGGCGGGCTCACGCTTAGGGTGTTTGATCTGGTTTTGGGTCGCAGCCTCGTCACCACCCCTCTCAATACCACCATCCTCCTCGCTCGCACCCCGCAGAAACGCGGATTCCTCTCGGCCAGCACTCGATGGTACACTTGTCCGCCACACGGCCGTGTGTCGGTGCGGAATCTTAAGAATTCGTGATTGCTTGTACATCGCTGCAGGCTGGGCGTGTACACAGACCAGGAGATGGCGCTCTGGGACCTGTCGGCCGTCGACGCCGCGCTCAGCACTGCCGAGGTCGGTGGCCCTGCGATCAAGCTGGAGTCGCTCGACTCGGTCGTCATGATGGAGGCCCAATTTTGCGCGGCGCACCTGACCAGAGACGCCATCGCACTCGCCCGCCCGCCCAGCACCAGCTACCTCGCCGCCGGAGGTACATCCACGACTGCGCAGTCGCCGACGCCAGACAATTACTTGCTCGTTACGGTCTACGACATCACCGCCGCCATTGACGCATCAACGAGTGGTGGTGAGGATGCGCCGCCACGGCTGCGGGTCATCGCTACGGCCGAGGTGCCGCAGCGTACCCTTACCGGCGTGGCCTTCAACTCGCGCCTCATGGCCATGGTCGGCGGCCAGCAACCCGAAGTGCTGCTCTTCGCCTTCACACCTCGCCAGGGCAATGACCCGCCGCCGCCGCTGGAGCTGACGAAGCTTCCCCGGCCGCTGCGGGTCGAAGCCGCGCGCTATTCGATGACGCAGCCCTGCGTGGCCCTGGACGACCAGCGGCTCTACTACTATTACGACTGCAACAAGGTCGCCATCTTCAACGTTCAGGAGCTCCTCCACGCATCGCCGGGCCAGACCAGTGATGAAGCCCACAACGAAGGCGAGGAGAAGGTGGTGGTCGGGCAGGACTGGTCGCACCGGGCGCTGGTGGCGCAGCTGCATGCCGGCCCGTTTCCGACGTCGGCGCCCGGCGTGGTGGTCGCGTTGGCACGAGTGCTGGCGAAGCGTATGCGCAGGACCGCACCGGGGTGGTGTCGGTGGTCACTGCCGAGGCGGTGCGGCTGCTCGTGGACCCGTGCTCGAGCATCGGCGTGCAGGCCGGCGACAGCGAAGACCTACTTCTCTTCCCCTTCTGACGCTTTTACAAGACATAAAGAAAAAGAAAAGAAAAACTAATGTCGACAACAAGTATTGGCGCCATTTTCTGTTCGTTCGCGCTTAGATTGGCAACACAACAGATCCACACAGGCAGATCAAGATCTGCATATCATCTCATCGCAAGGATTCTCAGCGGCTAGAGTAGTTCTCAAGTCTTCTTTACGCAAGGGCGACGCACACTCGCTCTTCTTCATCCTTCCAATAGGCACTAATTTGTACGATTAAGGCGAGATCTTTAACCGCAAAACGATTCGCAGTGGCTCATCGATCTCTTTTCTCTGTGCGATCTGCAGCAACAAGTTAATGAATCGAAAGAGAGCCAAGATTTCTAAATGGCAAACAGTACGGGACGTCGACTTACCAGAGGTAATCTGGGTCACCACGTGACCCTCGAGGGAGCTTTTCGAGACACGGACGGAGGGTACACCCGCCTTTCTTCTTTATTTATTGGTTTGTTTATTTATTGTTATTATATTTATTATTTATTTTATTTCTTATCATTACCTTTTTTTACCTTTTTATTACCTGTAAATGGGAACTTATCTGCTGGCGGTGTGTTGTGCCTGGTCACCCTAGGGTGGTGACTTTCGGGGGAGGAAAGATCACCAAGTGGTGGCGCATTCGGAAGGTGAAAAGAGAAAGGCGGCCCAAGAACGAGCTCGTGCTTGGGCTCAGCCAGGGAGGTGGCGGTGGGGAGGGCGGCGGCGGCGGGGGTGGTGGTGGGGAGGAGGAGAGCGCGGGTGGTGGTGGAGAGGGTGGAGAGGGTGGTGGTGTCGACGTCCCGTACAGTAGTAGTGGCGGCCGCTGGTTGTACACAACCTTGTTCGATGCAGCGGTCGACCTCATGCCATCTGCTCTCGCTTTCTCTCCGCAGGTACCACGCCCATTGCGCAATGTGTTCCCTCCCATTCGCGCGGCCTCTGACCCGTTTGTGTGCGGCGTGTGCGTTTTCTTTTTGTATTCGGCAGCTGGACCAGTTTGCCTTGGCCAGCCAGGAGAGAGGCGTGGGGATCTATGCCTATCCCTCGTGTGCACTCGTCCATCAACTCGCTCTCTGCAACGTACGTCGCCATCATCCGCCAGCCGATTGGCTTTCTCGCTGCAGTGCAACTAAACAAGGAGCCCTGTCGGACATCTAAATCAATAGAATGGATCTATGCGGAGGCCGGCCGTAGGCGGGCTCGCCGCCTTTTCGCTCTCTTTCAGCTCCCAGGGCGATCTACTGGCCGTAGCCCAAGCGTACGAGACCACCCATTGATTTTAAATCCTCGAAATGCACTCACGCGATCGCCTCTTCGCTCGTTGCTTGTTCTTCGCGTTTCGTTGTACTGTGGATGGAATACAGTGGTGTGGCGGGAGTGCGCATCATGGACACGACCTTCGGCAGGCTGGAGCTGGTGCTGCACGAGCGGCCTCCGCGGGCCGCCCGGCGAAAAGCGGAACACAGCCGAGAGCGGGCGCCGCCGGGCGCGGTGGTGGTGGAGGGGTGCTCGCTGTCGATCGTCGCAGTGTGCTTCTCTCCCTTCAAGGACCTCCTGGTACGCCTCTCCTCGATAATTACCACCGCACCACCAGCTCCTCACCTCTTTGTCGCTTTCTCGCTCGCCACAGGCGGTGCGCTCCACCGCCATGCTCTCGGTGTGGGTGCTCAAGCGGAGCGACGCAACAAACGACGACTTTCAAGCGCGACGCTTGCTATCTCTTCCGCTGCCTGTCCCCTCGAGGTAACTGGATGTGTTATTTATTGATATTATTTATATTATTTATATATACCGTCATTGTTTTTATGATTATTAATTTGTAACATTATGATTTTGACTGTGCTATTTGTTGCGCCACGTTGAAAGCTTCAAGGACTATCGAATGAAGTGGGACGGGAGTGCGGAGGGGCTGTTGTACCTGCCCTCGACGGAACAGATCTCGATCGTGCAGGTCTACGAGGACGACGAGTGCGTCGCCATCGCGGCGGACAACAACAACAACAACAATGAGAGACGCAAGGCGACGGCGAGAGTCAGGCGAGAGAACATCAACAGCTGCTGCAACGCCGTGTGACGGTAGAGCTGAAGCGGGAGCAAGATGCTCGGCCCCTTTCGGCCGAGTCCGAGTCGCAGGTGGGAGACACAAGGCCTGATGAAGTTAGAAAGAACGAAAGCGAAGGCGCAGGTTACAGAGCGGAGGAACGAAAGCGAAAGCGAAAACGACGCAGGTCGCAGCCGAGAGGCGAAGAAGGGTCCGCGGCGGGCAACAAGGGCAGGCGCGTGGTCAGGGTTCGGGGCAAGCGACGACGCCTCTGCGATGACGAAGACCACAACACCAGCAGCAAATGCGTGCAACAGCCGTTAACGGTCCGCGTCAAGGTCGAACCGAACGATGACGAGCAAGAGCAAGCACCCAAGGAGGAGAAGCTGTGGGTGCCCATCAACAGCTTCGGCTTCTTCGAGTCGGAGGAGTCTGAGTTCGACAGCCTGCCCGGCTCGCAACTGCTGGACGCGCTCGACGACACCAGCGGCCACGAAAGAGCGAAGAACGATGAAAGAGCGAATAACGACACCGCGCCATCTATACCGCCGGTCAAACTGGAGCCGGTGAAGCCGGAAGCAACGAGCGATGTGGTCGCCGGCGGCAGCCACAGCACAAGCAAGAAGACGCCGGCGGCGCCGGCAGGCCGCCTGGTGGTGTGCCGCGGCGGTACCCCGGCATGTCAGCTGTTCTTCGAGTGCGCGTGCGGCAAGCACCTACTGTGCTCGTCGTGCAAGCCCGACAACCGGTCGTGTGCCGACGAGGAGACGACGAGCAGCCAGAGCCCAGCGAAGACCAGCGCGACCACCGCAGTCACCACCAGGGCCGCAGAGCCCCAGAGGGAAAGAGGGGCCGCGAGCCAGGCGGAAGAGGGCGCGAGCCAGGCGACGCTCGACAACCTCCTCTTTCTGGCCAACGGCCGCATCGGCGGCGGCGGGAGGGGCGATCGAGCCGTGGGCGATGAAAGCGAGGAGGAGAGCGAGAGCGTGTGGCACGATGCCGGCGGAAGCCCCACGCAAGGTACCAGCGCACCTGGCCCAGGCCTACACCGCCGGTGGGCGTTTGACTATCAGCACTCACTCTGTGTTCCATTGTGTGCGTGTGCGCCGGCGCCGTGCGGAATGCTCAACGATAGACAGCGATGTCGGCGCGGAGGAGGACAACGACGCTGCGTTTTCGCAGGACCCGGAGGAGATGAAAAAGCGCTACGCCAAGTTCCTGGAGAGCCTCCTCGCCATGCAGGAGCAGCAGGATATTCTCGACCACGGAGGGAGAGATGTCGTGGTCGACAACCACGAGGCCGCCGATCCTGACTCGGGCAACGTCAGCCGAGAGGTGCGCCTCCCACTCAGCGCCTCATATCGTTGGGACCTGTCGCCCTTACGCTAGCTGTTGTGTCGTGCGTCTGCGTTGTGTGTCGTGTTGCGTGTTGCGTGTCGTGTCGTGTGGTTGACCAGCCGGCCTGGCTCAAGAAGCGACGACAGCGAGAGGAGCTGCAAAAGGTCCTATTGGCCGACAAGGAATGCAACAAGGTTCAAAGCCACGCGTGCTGCACCGCGCTGCGGCCTGCAATCAACTGACACTCTGATGATGACGATGGTTGCTTGGTTGTGGCCTTGTGCGCAGTTGCTTGCGGCCTTCGACCAGGAGATGCGGAAGGACATCAAAAACCGGAAGGAGTCATCGATCGCTGCGCTGTCCACCTCCATCTTGCGTCGCGCCCGGAGCGAAGGCAACCTGCTCGCCGCCATGCGCGAAGACCGCGCGGAGACCGAGACGGGAAAGAAAACGAAAGCGAAAACAAAAGCGAAAGTGAAAGCGAAAGCGAAGACAAGAGCAAAAGAAAAAGCGAAGACAACAGCGAAAACGAAACCGAAAACGAAAATGAAACAACGGTCGAAGAGCACGAGAGCCAAGGGCAAGGCCCATAACAATGACAACGACAATGCCAGCGATGATGACGACGCTCCGGAAGGCGAGGATCTGGTCTACCAGCTGACGCTCAAGGCCTATCGCCACCTGGGCAAGCTCAAGGCATGTCTGGGTCACGAGCTCTTCCAACCCTCGGCCCCTCAACGTTCATCGTCATCAGCCTCATCTTCGTCGTCATCGAAGACCGGGACGGACGAGTGCGTGCATCCGCTCGACCTGCGGAGCATGCGGCGCGAGCTGGAGCGGTGCCTCGGCCTCCTGCACCCGTCGTCGGCGCTGCCCTTCCACCTGCCGTCGACATCGCTCATCGCCGCCCGCGCGACCTATCTCGCCAGCAGCGGCTGGGCGCCGCCGCCTCCGCCGCTGCCGCCGCGCAAGGCGACCGAGCACCACCGCCCGCCCGGCGGCGAGACTACGCCGTCGCGACGACACATCCAAACACTCCTTTGATGAGAACGACTGTACGTGCGGTGTGTGCGGTGGTGCGTGTGCGTGTGCGGTGTGATGACTTTATAAAGTGATATGTACAATAACAGGAAACAGGGCGGACGTGTAGTGGGGCGATCATCAGATCACGCTGGGGTAAGTGGCAAGCGTGGCGATGCCGCACATGTTGGAGCCGCGCGCGAAGAGGACGTAGCCGTCCATGCCCCAGCTCCGGCCCCACGAGTTCTTGACGATGTAGTACTCCACCTCCGTACCATTCTGTACCATTTGTCAGCTCTCAATATATGTCAACGCAGCTGCGTGTGTGGGCGTGTGCGATCGTGTGTCGTGTGCGTACCACGGGAACGCTGCCGTAGCCTACGGCGAGCACGGCGTGATTGAGGTCAGTGCGAGCCGAGCCGCACGATCGCGACGAGAACACGCCGCCCGAGTAGAACTGCAGTCCCTGCTCGGCATCAATGCACACGCTGATCTGGGCAGCATGACACGACACGACACGACACGACACGACACGACACGACACGACACGACACGACACGACACGACACGACACGACACGACACGACACGACACGACACGGCACGGCACGGCACGACGCGCGTCAGGAACTAGGCTAGACAGGGGCAGTGCTGGCGGTAGTACTGGTCCGACGGTGGCGAGGGCGTGAGCGAGGGCGGCTTCGCTGCCGGCCGGGAGGGACGTGTACGACGCGACGACGGCGCCCACCGCCCCCGCGGACCGGTTGTAGGTGCACGGACACAGCTCGGGCGCGGTGCAGTCCGAGATCCACACCGACGCCAGCGGATACCGCGCCTCGGTGTCGATGCCCTTGTTGTCGATCACATACCTGCATGTATGTGTGTGCGCACACGCCACCGCAATGGTACGATGATGCGACACGACACACGACATGCAACATGGTGAGCGAGGGTGACGGATGATGGCTGACGATGATGAAGTGTGTACTGGAAGGCCTGGGAGGGCAGCCCGCCGCCGCAGCCCATGTCGCCCTGCGCCCACGAGCAGTCGATGAGGTTCTCCTCCGACAGGTCCACCAGCCGACCGGTCCGCAGCGCCTGCTGGCCTGCTCCCATGTACGTGCACCCACCGAAACACGTAACATATGAATATGTACAGATATATATATATATATATATTATATAAAAATGAGTCCCACATGTTGTAGACCAGTAGGAAAATGTTGGGGGGTTGCTGACCTTCGATGGCGCCAGCGGCAGAGAAGGCCCAGCAGGAGCCGCAGTCGAGCTGGTTCTTGACGCGGGTCACGACGCCCTTCTCCCGCCAGTCGACCTGCGTAGGGAGTCGCGTAGCGGCTTCGAGCAGGTGCGCTGCGCCTGGAGATGAAGACGACGATGAAGGGAGAGGTGGAGGGAGGAGTCCCATCTTCCGCGTAGAGAACTCGTCGAAGGTGAGGTCGGCGAACTCGTTGATGGCCACGGTGTAGAGCGGGTCGTGGTGGGCGGCGATGAAGGCCACGTTGCGATGGAACACGGCGCGGCGGTGGGCCTCCTCGTGGGGGGTCGGGTAGCTCTTGCCGTACTTGGCCTTGAAGCTCTCCCATCTGCCGTCCACTTCTCCTCCCACTACCAACGTAGTGGCCATCACCAAGACCACCCACAGCCCAAACACTGCCTGCATGTTGTGGCACCTGTGGCTGAGCATTCTTGTTTGTCTAGTGCAAGGGTAGGTTGTGGATGATGGTGGTGTTGAAGGAGTGGCGGGAGTTGTTAAAGCTAAGGGGGTGAGTCCACACCCCTCTGGTGGTGGCCTTGGGGTGATGCACAAACAGCGCAAGTCGAACAACGGCCGCCCTAGGTCCCCAATCCCAGAAGAATCCGGCCACCACCATGCGTTGGAATTCGAGCTATTGCGTTCGCCGAACGCATCACCGACACAGAAGAACTGATCTCCTTGCGCTCGTGACAAGAGTTCGAGATGGAAGCAAGTGATATTGAGCGTGGTATCACAAAGGCAGCGTCGTTTGACCAAGGTCTTACAATGACTGGCCCCTTCAACGTGCTCCTTCTCGGCGAATTCGGGTTTTTTTGCCACACTTATCTTGTTCACTTTCCAGTCCAGGCCCTGGTCCTCACCTTTCTTTGTTGTCTTCGCTTTCTCTCTCTTCTTTCGATTCTCTCTTTCGTTCTTTCTCTCGGGCGCAGGGCGGGGAAGACGAGTCTTGCCGAGCGCGTGGTGTACGGCCGGTCGCCCAAGGACTCCACGCCCGCACCCACGCACAGCCACCACTGGACAGGCGTTGGCGTGGACCTGGTGGACGGTCCGCACGTTGTGGTCGACCTGTGGGACACCGGTCAGTTTATCGCGCATGGGCCATCGTGTCGTGTGTCGTGTGTCGTGTGTGTCGTGTGTGTCGTGCGTCGTGCGTCGTGCGCCAAAAGGCCTCACAGTGACAGTGCAGCGGGCGAGGAACAGTTCAACGGCGGAAGCTTCATGAACCCGAACTACTTCCGCAGGACCCACGCACTGATCATGGCCTACGACATCGCCAGCCCCGACGCCGAGCGCCAGTACAGCCACCGTGGCACTTCACCTTTCGGCATTTGGTTGGGTTGCTCGCAAACTAACGTGATCGTCCCCAATGCACCAACAAAAGGCTCCAGACTTGGTTTAGCCTGTGGCGAGGCTATGTAAGCACCAAAGCGCCGGTGATCGTCGTGGGCACCAAGCAAGACCTGCCCCCCAACCAGCACAAGGTACGCAGCGGGTGCCTGTCGGCCCACACAGTGCAACGACTTCTCTCATCACTCGCTGCGTACCTAGGCGGACACTGCGAGCATTCTGAGCTGGTGCACTGCTTCAGGGGTACTTCCGCGCGCGTTTCCGCTGCCCTACCAAGACACATCGATCTGATTGCATTGCATTGCGTTGCGGGTGTGGATGACATGATTAGAAGCTGCCCTTCCTGGTGAGCGGCAATGGAGTGCCGGAAATGCTCGGCGAACTGGGCCGCCTGCTCTTCGAGACCTATGGCCTCACCTCCAACCCACCTTCCGCCGCGCTCTCGTACGTGTCGTGTGCCTCCACTTTCATGCACTTGCCATGCGTGTCTTGGGCGGTATCAGGCAGGTCGTGTCGTGTGTGTCGGGGCGTGCTGGGCTCACTCTGAGAGCCGTGCGGATGCAGTTCTGGCTGTCGACGCAGGGGCTGCTGTTCGCTGATGGTAGCACCCGGCGACGAACACGTCGACTGGCTCTTCCGCACGGCCGACAAGCCAGCGAGCTCTCGGCCTGAAATAGCGGCCAAGCAGGCGCCCAGGCGCGACAACAACTACCTCGGCCCAGCCGCCTCCATGTTCTTCTCCTCGCCGAAGCCCAAGTCCGGCTCCCAGCTGGTACCGCCTGCACCCGCTACCCCAGACGTTCCTTGGCCCACGCGCTGACCTTGGCTGGGCACGCGCGCCGACAGTCGGTGTCGGGCGTCAAGTATGAACTCTCGATCGACCTGCTCGCGGCTGGCCGCGCGTACCTCGACTTTTGACCAAAGTCGAGCAGACGCTGACGACTCAGCTGCTGGCTGACAGGCACCACGTCGCCCAAGCCATCGATCGCTACGCCAAGGTAACCATCACTGTGCGCGCTATTCGGCTTGTTGTGCCACTAAGCCACCATCACCACCAATTCCTGCGCCTCAAGTCCGTGTTTCCGAGCGAAGCGGTGTGGGCGCTGCCCGACATCGAGTTCGTGTGGAAGTCGCACCTGATCCGTCCCCTTGACTACGTGAAGGAGATGAAGGCCACCTTCGGGAGCGGTCACGACCACGACCACTACGAAGTGGTGCCCGCGGACTTTGGTGCGGCGACCGCCCTAGGCCGCACCGCGGCGCTGTGGAGCCAGCTCTACGACGGCGAGCCCTACGTGCCGGACTGGCTCACGCCCGACCTCCTCGCCCCGTTCCTGGCCGGCGGCGGCGATGCTCAGTCCGCCGAAGAACGAAACTCCGAGCCCCTCCCTTCGACCGAAGGAATAAAGGCGCCGTCCTGGGAAGAAGTGCGCGCGGGGATGAGGGTGGTGGACCAGGAGCTGGTGATGGAGGACGCCCACTGGCTGCCTAATCTCCGCCGCTTTCTCAACGTCGACAAGGTGCGGCCCTACTATCTCTGATGGAACACCACCATACCTACTGTGGTCGCACACATGGTGGTCAGATGGAGGAGGTGGTGCAGGAGAAGCAGATGCAGGCGTGTCTCGATGGCTACGCGCGCTTCCTGACCCGCAAGAAGCTGAAGGACAACAACAGTGACGATGATGAGGACGACGAGGCCACGTACGACGTCGACGTCATGTGGTACGCCGGACAACCAACACTGCCGCTTGCTTTGGGTGGTGAGAAAACATCGCTGAACGGGAACGCGCACGCACCAGGCACGCACACATGCTGCACCCGCAGGCCTACTGGCGGGACTGTGCGCAGATGGGCCTGGCCCTCGACCACCGCCCCTGGCCGCACCTCTTCCCTGCCAGCACCTGATCACGCATCCCGACACATCATAATTGATAATTGTTTGTTGTTATCTGTTTCTATTTGTTTATCTCTGTATTTATCTAATTTATCTATTTACCTATTTATCTATTTTATTTATTTATTTATTTGGAAATTTCACGGGTGCGATGTGCGACAAGAAAAGAAGACGAGCCACGCAGGCAAATACAGGAAAAGAGTTGATTGAAAAATCTAAATCGTGTTGCTAATCGCAAATGGGGAATACGGGCGCGAAGAAGAGCGGGTCTGCTTCAACGCCCACTTCGCCTGTTTCGCCTTCGCGTGCCAGCACCACGAGCACGACTGCGCAATCGGCCTCCCTGTCGGACCTGCACGTAGCGACCGATTCAAACACGAAGATGGAGGAAAATCGCGTAGTGAAGAAATCAAAGGAGGCCAAGGCAAAGAAGAAGAAGGAGAAGGAAGAAGAGGGAGAAGAGAAGAAGCAGGTGGAAGATGGTGAGGAGGTGGAAGAGGAGGAGGACGGCGAGACGTCGACCTTCAGCGATGAAGATGACGACGATGAGGGGGGCAACGATGGAACAAGCAAGGATACAGGAATAGTGCCAGAGGCCTACACCAAGGCCGCCACAGAGCGACTTCTCAAGGAGTTGAAGGTGCAGCTCCCCGCGTAATTGATTGCATTGATATCAATGCAATCTTTTGGTTGCCCCTCAAGCTCACCCGCCACGATGTACAGGAGCTGCGACAGCCCAACGTGACAAAGGACGGCTACTCTGTGGCCCCTGTCGAAGACAACATCTACAAGGTACATCTCTCAACTCTTTTTTTCTGATTTTAATACTTACGTATTGTGCTTCTTGTAGTGGCATGTGAAGCTGTTTGGGTGGGACGACGATGCCCAGATCAAGCAAGACCTCACCCTCTACGAGAGCCTCACCCAACGCGACCACGTCCTGCTCGAAGTCATCTTCCCCAAGGCACGTTCGCCCCTCTTTTTCTTCGTTTCATCAGCTCAACTGACCTAATCTCGCTGTGGTACCCACCCCCACAGGAGTACCCCAACATGCCGCCCTTCATTCGAGTGGTCTACCCCCGCTTCCACCAATACACCGGCCACATCACCATCGGTGCGCCACCGCAGCTTCTCAAGTTGGTGATGTTGATGATGTTGATGATGTTGATGTGCTGTTGTTGTTTTATGATGTTGATGATGTTCCGGTGATGTTGGTATGTGGACCCGCAGGTGGTTCGATCTGCGTGAAGGATCTGACGAGAAGCGGGTGGAGCGCCGAGTTCCAGCTCCAGCCGTTCTTTGTGATGATCCGAAACCTCCTGCTCGAGGGCGGCGCCCTGGTGGACATGGACAACTACGCCACCGACTACAGCGAGCAGGAGGCCCGCGAGGCCTTTGATCGCGTGGCCCGCGCCCACGGCTGGGAGCCCTGATGACACCACAGATCGCGGTCATGGCCATGGTCGTGATGGTCCGCTCAAGTGGCCACCTCAGGTAGTATGTAGATATCCACCCTTCTAGACCCAACAATTTTTAATTTTGTTTTCACATGTTGCTGTGAGTTGGTTGCATGGTGGTTGCAAGATAACAAGCTAACAAGATATATCATTGGGTGGTGAAGTTAAAAAATTTGTGGTGGTCCCATTGATCAAGCGACGCGGTTGAGCCAGACAGAGGAGGACGGCGTGCTGCTGGCTCGAAGCACGGCGGCGAGCTGCGAGTTCGCGTAGCCGTTGAGCGGCACCGCAAAGTCGAAGCCCGTGGGACACGACGCCTGGGCAGACCTCCAAGACGTCGCGTTGGCGCTGCGTGCGTGCGTGCGGTGAGTGCGTGCGGTGAGTGCGTGCGGTGAGTGCGTGCGTGCGTGCGCCATACAAAAGGCCTTGGCTCGCACCTGAGCACGAAAGCGCCGGTGGTTGGGTTCCTGCAGGCCGAGCGCAGCGTGGTCGCGTTGCAATCGAGGGCGGCCCACCTGCCGTTGGGCTGCATGGCCGCACAGCCGCCGCGCAGCTTGGGTTGATCTGAAGCAGCAGATGTGGGTCAGCCACAGCGAGAGCAAACGCATAGAACCGCTGATCGGTGGTCCCTCGCTCGTTCGCACCCTTGTCCCAGCTCCACACGAAGCCCTCGGCGAGGATCGGACTCAGCTGATCGACGCAGGCAAAATTGACGTTGCACTGGGCCTCCTCGAGCAGGTCGGCGGGCATCATCATCTGGCCATCGTAGCCATTCTATATGCCGAGTTAGAACACGACACGACACGACCAACGACACGACATGAGGGGCTTACCCAGAAGGGACCGTAGGCGAGGGAATCGCCGAAGACTCTGGCGATCTTGCCGTTGTTGACCGGGGCGTGCCGCACGGTGCAGTTGGGGTAGGCGCTGAACGGGAATGGGCCGTATTCGGTCCACATGTTGGCGCGCGCGAACAGGTGCCGGTTCATGACCTCTCCATAGTCCGTACGGCTGACAAACATCACTACACACGACACGACACGACACGACACGACACGACACACACACACACCACACGACACGACACAGTAAAGGGTCAGTTGTGTCCGAGGCTCGGTCAAAGGTGAGGGGTCTCTCGTACGCCTCTTGCCGGCGGCCTTGAGCTGGCGGAAGGAGGGCCACGAGCGCGGGAAGAGCCTCTGCTTGTCGACCGGAGTGAACACGTAGCTCCCAAAGTGGTACTCGATGCCCTGCAGGATCAAGTTCACCTTCGACCAGCCTGCCGTCGCCACTCAGTCAGCGCCACTCTCCAGCACACGCACACGCACACGCACAACCGCACACGCGCGGCCCTACACGCGAACAAGAGAGGGGGAAACGTACTCAGCAGGTCTTCTTCGTCGTCAAAGTAGAAAATGACAAACTCGCGCTCGTTGCCGGGGGCGAAGACAAACTGCCTGATCTCGACAAACGTGTCGTTGAGCGTGCGGTCATACTGACACATGCGTGCGTGTGCGTGTGTGTGTGTGTGTATGCGTGCGCGTGCGTGTGCGTGTGCGTGTGTCATGTGAGATACGCAGCGTCTGCGGAAAGGTGCTGCGGAGGTGGGTGCCTACGGGACTGAAGCAGCCGATGGTTTCAGAGTCCCAGTCGATGTGGATGCCGAACTCGGTCCCAAGGAACTTGATGAAGTCGTTGAGGCTTTGGAGGTGGATCCCGCCCGCGTGGCAGATGCGAATCGCGTCACTCCACCAATGGACATCAAGCTGCACCCTCGAATGAGTGCGTGCGCAACGACACACGATACGACACACACGGCACACGACACGCACACGGCACACACGGCACACATGACACGCACACAACACACGACACGACACACACGGCACGTGCGCACCTCAAAGTGGCGAACGCCGAGCTTGAACTGGTCCCAGAGGCCGAGCTGCTGGTTGGCGATGTAGACCTGCCAGTCCTCGCTGATGAGGTGCGTGAGGGCGTTTGCCATGCCCTCCGACAGACCGTACCCATACGCCTGCACGCCACACACACGCACACGACCCCGCATGAGCTGTGCGTGCCGCGTGTGCGGTGTGCGTGTGCGGTGCGGTGTGTGCGGCGTACCAGGGTGATGGCCGAGTTGTGGGTGCCGGGCAGGGAGACGTAGTTGAGGGGCGTGTCGTATTGGATCTCGCGCTGGGTCTGGAGCGCGTAGGACGTCCACGGGTCGGGCTGGATGCTGCCGTCCTGGCACACCTCCGCACACACCTCCGGCGCCAGGCTCATGCACGTCTTCACCCGCTTACACGTCACATTCTATCGCACACGCACCACCGCACACGCACCACCGCACACACCGCACACCGCACACATCGCACACGACAGGTGTGAGGCGCACGCAACACTCAAGTGGTGAGAAGGGGGAAAGAAAGTACGTTGGTGGCCCAGGAGTGGACGAGGCGGTTTTTGACCAGGTCAGGGTCGGTGGCGGCAGGCCGGGCGAGCTGCACGGCGGCGAGGAGCTGGGACGTGGCCGCGGGCGACAGGCGATCGCCGTACTTGGCCAGCAGATGGCTCACCACCACCTTCTTCTGGGCCAACGACAGCTCCTTTGGCGCTGAGCCTGCACACATGTAATTTATTATTTATTTATTTATTTTTAAAAAACCATTTTTACAATTCTACATGAAGTAGGAGGGGGGCACGAACTTGGTTGAGGAGGAGCGGCGGCCAGAGCGCCGAGGCAGAGGACCGCAGCAGAAAAGAGGAGGAACCAGGAGAGGCGGATGTGCCACGGTGCTGCAGCAGACCCCATATCTTGTGTAGCAGGTTTTTTGGGGGGTGCTGGAGGTATGTGGTTTCTTAGTGGAGTCTGAGAGAATGGAAGAGTGAGAGAGAGGCCACCAAGCAGTAGCAGGTGTGTCTTGAGGGGTGGGAGTAGAGAACAAAGGCCTTTTTTTGTGCCCCTACAACAGGCGTGGATCCCGAGCGATCAGCTCTTTGCCATCCAATCGAAATTTCGTCAGACAACATGACCGGCCGCACCATGATTGGGCCGCGCCTCCTCGCTGCGCCAAGGAACACAGCGAAGAATTGGCAAAGAGCACGTTCAATGCCATCAGCAAACATTCGATCGACGGTTCTGTGCCGTGGCTGTGGTGGTTGGGGTGGGTGGGCGGGTGGGTGGTCACTTGGCGGGTGCGCCGGGACTGAGGGTGTGGCGGATGAAGGCCTGCTTGCCACAGGCATCGCAGTAGGGCTTGTCCCCGATGTTGAGGCACGTGCGCTCCAGCTTCCGCCCGCACCCGGCACACCCGAAGCATCCCTGCCGAGTCGAGCGCCCCATTGATGTGAGCCGTGTGCGCGGTGTGTGCGGCGGTGGTGCATGTGTGTGCGGTGTGTGCGTGTCGTGCGGTCGTGTGCGTGTGCGGTACTCGGTGAAAGTGCATGCCGGCGACTTCAACGACGTCACCGGACAGCTTGCTGCCGCACTTGGAGCAGTTGGCGTTCATGGTCTGGCGGTGGTGGTGGGCCGGGGTGTGAGCTACAGCGTAACCATCTCCAGCTAGGGGCGGCAGCAGTGCAAAAAAGGTACCTTGACAGGTGGTCGCTGTTGGGCGTTTTGGCTGTTCTGCACGGCAAAGACTTCGTTCACCCGCGCAGGCACGCTCTTGCTGAGCTTGTTGTACCGCTCCACCAGGTCACCCGTCACCTTAACATCGACGCGCCCACCATATATGAGCGCCAATCGTCATCACCGTCACCATAGGCGTGACGGGGCGTGTACCTGGGGGTGCTTCTGGCGGGCGCGCAAGATGTCGTCCTTGAGCGCCTTCAGCGAGTCGTTGAGCTCGGCACCTGCAGTCATCACCCCGCCGGACACTCAGTTATGAAAAGAGCGAAGAACGAAGAGCGAAGAGCGAAGACACACAATCTTTGTTTGAAGAGAGTACCCTTGCCCTTGAGGATCTGGGTGTCCGACGCCCGGTCGATCTCGTCTTCGATGCGCGTCAGCTTGTCGGAGAGGACCTTGACCTCGGCCGGCACCGCGGGCGGCGGATGACCGCCCGACGCCTGCTGCTGTTGCCGCTTCTCCTCGAGCTGCTGGGTCTTCTTGAGCTCCTGCTTCTCATTCATTCGCTGCATCACCTTCTGTCGCATCTCCTTCTCCCGGGCGGCCTGCACCTGGATGGCCTGGCGCATCTGCTCCCTCTGGTCCGGCTTCGCCGCATTCCCCTGACTGCAATCAATGTACAGTTAACGGTCACATTCCACACACATTCCAGACCATGGACCAACATACAACATGGAGTGGTGGAATGCTTGGTGCGTGCCTGGGGGTCGCGGTGGTGGTCGGGGCGGCAGCTGCGACAGACGGCGCTGGGGACGGAGTGACAGTCTTCACCGCGACCGCCGGCGCCGCGGCGGCTGGCGCGACGACTGTGGGGCGAGGCGAGGGCTTCGTGGTGGTGGTGGCCATTGTCGCGGCCGGCGGCGTCGCAAGCGGGAGCACGGTGGGCTTGGCCTGTGGTACTCCTCCGAATGCCGAGAGCCGCACATTCGAATTCTGCAACATCGTCGGCGCGGCCTTGGGCGACAAGCGCTTAGGCACGGCGGCGGGCGCAGCAGCCGCGGCGGGCACGGCGGGCGCAGGGCGAACGGCGGCCACGGGTGGTTGCGTCAGGGCCGGAGCCGGCGCCGCCGCCACCGTAGCGAACGTGTTGTGTTGTTTGGTCGCCGCAGGCACGGGCGGCGCGGCGCGGGTGTGCTGCGGCGCGGACGCGGTGGGCGGAGGCTTTCTCGGTGACAGCGACGACGAGGGCGCGTGCGCGGGCGAGACCCTGGCGGGCAGCGGAGGCCCTGCGGCGACGGTGGTGGTTGTCGTGGCGGCGGCGGTAGGAGAGGGAAAGAATGTATAGGGCGTCTTGTACGGCGGCGGCTGGTGATGGTGATTGTGAACAGGAAGAGGCGGAGGAGCCGCTGCGACGGCCGAGTAGGAGGGTTGGACTGTGCGGTGGGTGTGAGGCGGGAGAGGCGGCGCCGATGATGATGAAGAAGAAGAAGACGACGACGATGACGAGGTCGTCGACGGTCCCGTGACGCGATTGGGTAATGGCGGCGGGTTGAAGGGCGTGCCGCAGTCGCGGCAGAACTTGGACGCGGCAGCGCTGGCCGCCGCCGCACCGCACTTGGCGCATCTCAGCTGCTGCTGCGCTTGGTCACCGCCGCTCCCTCGAGAGCCGTCGGGACCGGCGATTGCGGGCGCGACGGTGGGGACCGGAGGCGGTGCGCGGTGGGGCAGGAGGTCCCTCCGCGACGACGGGAAAGCGGCCGAGCCGTGGGCGGCTGTCGCCTGGCCGTTGTTGGAGAGGCTGGTGGTGTGGTGCTGCTGGTGGTGCGGCTGGTGGGGGGCCGGCTCGTATGTCGCGGTGAAGGCGTCGACGCGGCCAGACCGTGGGGTTATATGGCCGCCATCGGTGTGGCTGGGGGATTGGTGGGTGACTCTGTTCCTGGAAGAGGCACCGGGCTTCCGATCTGCCAAATCTTCCATCAGCACGACACGACACACACCACACACACGACACACCACACACACGAAACGACACGACACATGACACGACCAACGACACGACCAACGACACGACACGACACGACATGACACACATATGACACGATAAGTGCACCTTGTACGACGGTCAAGCGGTTGGCTTGGTGGCGGTACTGCTCGATGAGGATTGCCCCGATCCACTCTTCCATCTCCGCCTCGCTGTCGGCGCACAACAGGTACTCCGGCTTGCGCGGGTGCCACAACCGGAAGAGCGTGATCTGTAACGAACAAAAAAACACGAGTCAGGTCAGCCGCTCGACGATCGTATGCGATTGGCGGTGATGATGGTGACTGACCCCTTTGTTGCCTCGTTTGAGAAGCTTCTTCATGAGCTTGGGGTCATCGACCAGCTCCACGATGTAGCCGTCGAGCAGCACGACGCCACACGGTCGGGCGTCCTGCTCACACCGGGAGAAAAGAGCAAAGCACAGGTGATGAGAGCCACTGACTCAGCAGTGTCATTGGCCCGGAACAAGAGCGAAGCAAAAGAAAGAAGAACGCACCCCGCTGTGGGCCGGTTCGAAGTAATACAGCCGCTTCTCTGCACACTCGGAGTCAAAAAAAGAACGAAGACGAAGACGAAAACGAAGGTCGATGTACCGCAGAGGGAGAACCAGCGGCGCTTCCAGTTCTTTATTTGTGTCCCTGTTTGTAGAGCAGCCCTGACTTGCTCCCGTTCATCACGCTCTCCGCCGACCTACCCATGGCCGCCTGCAAAAGACAAAAAAAATAGAATATTACATTGTATTGAAATAATACATGAAATGACAAAGTTTGAAGATGTTGAAGATGGAAGAAGAAGAAGAGAAAAATACCTTGTAGGCGGAGGAGCGGCGCCCCGTGTCTGCCTCCATTTCAAAAATCAAGCAAGTGTGCTCTTGCGTCCATGTATTTCCTCCTCCGCTCCCGTTGGCTTTGCTGTGGGCGACGGGATCACTGCAGCTCTGCGCAGACATACGGGACGCAACTCGGCCAAGGCTGACGTCAGCAAGCCAGTATTTAAGCTTTTTATTTTTGGCCAATGGCATCGCAAGAGAAAATGTGCGAGATAAAATGGCGATTGGTAGACCTAGGCGAGCTCCTCTGTGATATGTGAAGCTCAGGATATAGCTGGGTGGTGCAACATGGCTCGGATTCCTGGCCTCGTTCAAGATCGTCTTCGCTCTTTTTCCCTTTTGGCTCCGAAGAAGGCCCGTACCCCGGGTGCGTCAGTGGGCTCTCATACCTCATACCCAACACAGCAAGGAGGGAGAAGACCGCGAGGCTTTCTCTCAACGGTTCGTTCCTGGTTGTGCCGCTGCCACGCAGTTGAACGCCACACACCAGTTGAGTTAACTCAACTCCACTCGGCTGTACGAGACCGCGTGGGCTGGGCACCTTCACCGAAGCAGTTCGCTGCAACAGCTGCCGTCAAACCATCGCGAACTACGTTGGCACCGAGACCACGACCACAAACTTATACAACCAAGCGACACACACCAAAGAAGAGATTGACCAGGAGATTGATTGACCGTTGAGAGACGACGCGACGATCATGCTGTCACCCACACCCCACAATCAACGAGATGACATTCTAGAAGTCTCCAGTGCGTGCCTCCTCCCTCCAATTTCTTGTAATTTTGTGATTTCGATCAAAATTTGGAGGATTTGGCTTTGGTGATTTATTTATTATTTTGTTTGCTGCACCACCTCTGCACCACCTTCTCATCATCATCTTCTTCTGGGCTGCTCTGCTTCTACGCAGTACTCGACACGATAAACATCCCCAACAGAAAAGATGGAAGCCCGAGACAACCCTTCTTCTCGGCGCTCATCCCTGCCACCGAACAGCGATGGCAGCAACAACAGACCTTCTCCACTCCCTCCTCTCCGCAGGTACCAGGCCCTCCTTCCCCTCCCTCCCCGACACTTCTCCGTCGCTTTCGTTCTTTTTCGCGGCCCAAAGCTCTTCGCTTTCGTTCTTTTTCTTTTTCTTTTTTTGTTACTACTGTGCCCGTTTTTTCGCTCTACGCGCTTGGAGCACGCGCTCTCGGGCTTAGTCGCCTAGACTTGACCGTGGTTCGAAGTGTGGCCGCACACTTTTTTAAATCTTTTTTTGACTTTTTTTTGTGTCTTTCCCCTCTGGGCGCAGACGTTCTTCTTCAGCGTGGCCGACCGACAGGAGCATGCGGTCAAAATCTCCCTGTGGGACCGAAAGGAGGACGGCACCACCGATGAACACCAGAAGCTCCTCGGCGAGTGCACACGTACGCCGCACACGCACACGCACACGCACACGCACACGCACACGCACACGCACGACACGCATGGGGCTGACCGCAACTGCAGTGCCGCTGTTCTACGTCGGGTGGCAGTGGGTCGACGCCAAGCTCAAGGTCAAGGCCGCCGACGGCGCCCAGCCGAGCAAGTACGCCGCCAGCTACCTGCGCACGCGAATGCGCTTCACCCGCGACTCCCGCAGCGGCGGCAAGGTACCTTTTCCCACCTTCCACGACCACATCGCCTCCCCATTTCTGACCTTCGGTCGTGTGTCGTGTCGTGTCGTGCTGTGTGTGGCGTGTGTCGTGTCGTGCCGTGTGTGTTGTGTCGTGTCGTGTCGTGTGCGGTGGATATAGAGCGGAGATATACCGACGGCCGAGGAGTGGGAGCCGCGCAAGGAGGAGGTGGGGACGCCCAAGTCGACGGCCGACCGCAAGAAGTTCTGGCGCCACACGCGCGACCTCGGCAAACGGTCTCCAGTCATGTGCGCAGCTCTCTCTCTCTCTCTCTGCCACGCACGCGCTGACCGCACACGACACCGACACACACATGACACACGACACACACGACACACACGGCAGTGATCGAAAGCACAACGAGTTCCTGATGAGCCAGGACATACGCGCGGTGGGCGGACCCGAGTACGCGGAGAACATGGACAAGACGTCGGTGCGGCAGGAGATGCTCCTCAGCCAGCCCGTGCGCACCATTTCGATCAACGCGAGCGACAGCAGCGACGACAGCGACAGCGACTCCCCTCCACCTGGTACGACCACCATGGTGATCAACACCGGAGCTAAAACCTCGACATCGGAGCTAAAATTCTGCCTTTCTTGCAACACGCACCACCGCACACGCACGCACGCACACAGCCAAGCACGGAAACGGCATAGGGCGACGGCTGAGCCGAGACATCACGAAGCTGAGGCAGCTGCTGACGTCGACGGACACGAGCCACACCACGCAGCAGCCCCTCACCCAGGCCCGGTCGCTCAGCCCCAAAGGCTCCAGCGCCGGCGGCAAGAAGTTCTGGACGACCGGCCGGCAGAGCCAGGTGTCGCTCGAGGTGAGCAAGTCGGTCGATGTGCTCCCTAGCGTGCAGTCGATCGATTGGAGCAATGGCGGCGGCGCGCAGGCGCGCACCTTCTCCGACGGCGACATGGCCAGCCTCTCGCCCAGGAAAACGAAAACGAAGAGCGAGAAGAAGAAAGAGAAGAAAGAGAAGAAGAACAAGGAGAAGGAGGAGAAAGAGAAAGCGAACGGCGATGGTGTGGTGAAGCGGGTGAAGGCGGTGAAGAAGAAACAGCATCAGAAGAACAACAAGGACAAGAGCTCGAGCGGCAGCTTCGTCAAGTCGAAGCTCGGCAAGAAGCTCAAGAAGAAGCACGACGACGACGACGACGACAACGACAACAGCAAAGAAGAGGAGGGCTGGGAGCGGGACAGCAGCAGCGACGACGCCGCCACCGAACAGCAGAGTCACCACAAGCACAGCGACGACGGCAAGAAGAAGAAGAAGCACAAGCACAAGCGGGACAAAAGCGGAGGAGCCGAGGGCTTGGAGAGCGGCGTGGTGGTGGTCGTCACGGAGGTCGAGGAGGAGAGTGAGAAGAAGAAGAAGAGCGCCGGGACCAGCAGCGGCAGCGGCGACGAGGCCGTCACCGTCTCGAGCTCCAGCGGCGATGCGCCACCGGTGGAGGAGAAGCAGCTGAAGCTGGCAAAGAAGGACAAGCGGAAGAGCAAGAGCGGGAGCTCGGCGTCGGCCGTGCACACGTCGACGACGGACAAGCCCGCCGCCGAAAAGAAGACCAAGTCGCCAACCAAGAAGTCGCCCTGATTTATAAACCCTTTTATTTATTTATTTATTCAACTTATTCCTTTTGTCAAAAAAAACAAAATAATAAAACAAATGAGAAAAGAATAGAGGCTGTCATTTAAATGTTTATTTTTGCGCCACAACATCAACATCAACGCGCAAGCTACGCTTCAGCCTCTCCTCTTGTTGTTCTTGTTGGAAAGCTCGCGCTTGAGGGTCTTGGAGACGGGCACCTTCACCGAGAACTTGGGGGTCGCCTTCTGCTTCCGCTTGGGCGCCTCCTGCTCCATCGCCTCCTCCTCTTCACCTTCATCTTCTTCTTCTTCGTCCTTGACCTCCTCCTTTTCCTCGATTTTCCTCTTCTTGTTGGCCTTCTGCTGCTTCTTCGCCTTCTTCGCATTCTTGCTCAGCGTCTCAATCTCCTCGTCCTCCTCACCCTCATCCCCATAATCCTTCTCCTCCTCCTCCTCTCCTTCTTCACCCTCTTCCTCACCTTCATCGTCTTCTTCACCTTTACCTTCACCTTCATCATCGTCTTCTTCATCATCGACTTCATCGCCGTTGTCGTCGTCTTCTTCTTCAGCCTCGCCGTCGTCGTGGTGGTCGGACTGGTCGAGGTTGGGGGCCTCCATGCCGGGCGGGAGCTTGCCCTTCTTGGCCAGGTTGAGGAGCTGCTGCTGGCGCCGGGCCTCCTTGAGCTCGCGCTGCCGCTCGACGCGGGCCTCGAGCTCGGCCTCCTCCTCGGCCGTCTTGGTGACGAACTGGTGGTAGAGGACCTGGCCGTCGCAGAAGCCCTCCTGCACCTTGACCAGCGACAGCGTGAGGCGCGGCCCGAGCTCCTGCAGCCGCACCGCGCTCTGCTGCGTCTTGGTGCGCACGTCGGTCGTGAAGCGGCGCTTGACCCTCTTCTTCTTCTTGATATGTCGCTCCACCTCCACGTGCGTGTCCTCCCCGTCCTCCATATCACTCTCGCTCGCCTTCGCGCCTCTGTTAAGGTGGCGGCGTTCGTTAAGGGTGGTGATGATGGTTAAGGTGGCTACTATGATTTAAGGTGGCAGGTGAGGTGGCGGTACCGGAGGACGTATTGGGAGATGTCCTGGAGCTGGGAGAGGTCGGGGAGCTTCTTCTGGAGGAGGCGCTTGACGCTCTTGGACACCCCGACGGCGTGCGAGGTGACCAGGTAGTGCCGGAACTGCACCGTCTTCGACTCGCTGTCGTACTCGAACAGCACCACGCGCTTGCACTCCTCCACTTTCATCTGTCGTGTGCGTGTGCGTGTGCGTGTGCGTGTCAGCATTTCGTTTGTGTGCGGCCACGCCACCTGCGCATTCACGTGACTACTGGGCGCTGATGAGGGCACCTTTTTGATGTTGATGGGCGAGAACATCTTCTGGAAGATGACCGACATGAGCTTGATGTTCTCCTCGGCGCCCTTGAAGTTGTTCAGCACCACCTGCGTAGGCCCGAAGAAGAAGAAGAAGAAGAAACGAGTGTGAGCGACCAGTCAATTTTGACATACAGCTGTGCGGGTGCGTCGGTCGGTCACAGTCGACCGCTGGATCACGTACGAGAGGCGGATACTTGAACTCCGATCCGGGAGAGTGCGGGTTCTGCTGCAGCGTCACAATGTCACGCACCAGCGAATACCTACCACGCGTGGAACGTACCGCACGGCACACACACATGCGCACGACACGACACGACACGACACGACACGACGCGACGCGACGCGACGCGACACGACGTGTGGTGAGTAATGTGTTGACCGTTGAGCTGCGCGAGGGGGATGGCGTACGAGGAGATGCGGAAGGTGAGGGTGGGTCCGTGCGGCACGCGGGCGATGCGCATGTACGACCCAAAGTCGGTGGCGGAGAAGATGATGAAGTGGGTCACGCCCAGCGGACCGGCCACGTGAATGAAGTCCTTCAGCGTGTTGCTCTTGCGCTCCTGCAAGAACCCAACAACAACAACAACAACAACACGTATCATGTAAGCGCACGCGCGTGTGTGTGTGCGGTTGCGTGTGTGTGTGTGCGGTGGTGTGTGCGGTGATGCGTGTGTGGTACCCGAAGGTGGAGGGCGGTGTGGGGCAGCATGACGCGGCGTGTGTCTTCGAGGAGCGACTGGAGGGTCTTGCCGATCTTGCCGCGCTTCATGACGAAGCTCTGCTCCACCTTCTTCTTATTGTCATCGACCACCGGCGGCGCCTGCCCCTTCTTCTTTCCTCCCTTCTGCACACCGAACCCACGTGAGTATATCAATCGATCATCACCACACGATCGCTCAAACAGCGATTGTTGATTTGTTCTACACAAATGCAATTTCTGTAAATCTTCCAAAATCCGACGATTAAATCAGTTAATCGTTGAAATTGGGCAGATTTCGCCTCCCCTGCGGCCAAAGGGGACAGTATGCATAAGAGGGGAAGAGACTGGTACCTTTCCTCCGCGCTTCCTCTTTCCCATCTTGCCTTTGCTTTGAATCGGAACGTCTGGTGTAGCGGAATGCCTCCGTTCTCCGCGGCCGATTTTGATTAATCAAAAAGTGCGTCGGAACGAGAGAAAATGCCAAGAAAGCAATATTTTCGGTTTTTTGATTTTTTTTTTCAGTGTCAACAATAAACTAAAAATATTTTTCGTATTCGTAGGCAGCACGTGCGCCGCGTTTTGCGTCTACAACACGCCCAAAGGGTGTCCCAGAAAGAGTTTGAGAGTTGCCCCCTTGATATGAACTCAATAGTATAATTTCATAAGAGTAGTATTGTTTTTATTGTTCATGCACATCATGGGCAGCTGCCCGCATCTGACCGTCATCACGTGTGTACTCGGACGTATTTCTGGGCGATGTCGAGGAGGGCGATTTCCCGCATCTTGAGTCGTCTCGTCAGGAACGCCGGTGCCTCGTACGCCGCGTTGTGCGCGTTGATCACTGCGCGGCCACCCATCAAATCAGCATTGACACCACCGCACATCATCGCACACGCACCGCGCACACCCGCGCGCGCGCACACACGGTCGCGTACGTTTTTTGAGAAGTATGGAGCGGAATCGGGGCATGACGGCCTCGTAGACGGGCGGGTAGGCGATGAGGGGTCCGTATGGTGGCACGCCCTCCTTCTGCGTGATCGCCACCCGGTACCGCGTCCGCCCCGTGTTGTTCACCCCACCGCCGCCGCCTCCGCCTCCGCCGCCTCGACTGCTCGGGCTCCGCACCGCCCGCACCCCGCTCCCGCCGCCGCTCTCTGGGCTCAGCGCCCCGCTCCCGCTCCCGCCGCCGCCGTAGCCGCTCGAGTCGTACACGCCGCTCCCGCCCACGTTGCGGCCGCCGTAGCCGCTGTTGTTGCTGTTTCGGTCCTCGGACGTGTCCTTCTCCTTCTCCTTGTCCTTGCGGCCGTGCTGCTTGCCGCTGGGCGTCGTGGTCGTGCTGTCGATGGAACTCCCGCCGCCGCCGCCGCCGCCAAAGTCGTTTGTGTCATTGCTGTGGTCGAGCTCCTCGCGCACGACCATGAACACGTGGTTGAAGTCGGACGTGATCTCCGTCGGAGTGAACACGCACTGGTCGTCCTCCTGGAAAATGATCACGCACACATCGTTGCCTGCCGATCGACGGTCAGATAACAAATAATAATCAACAAATAATAACAAATAACAAATAACAAATAAGAAAGAATTACTATAATCATAACAAATAATAAGAAGAATTAAAAAAGGGCGTACCGATGTGTTTCTTGCGCTCGACCTGCTGGTCGTTCTTGGTGGAAAAGGGCAGGTAGGTGCTGACGTGGAACATGATCTCGTAGTCCTTGCGCAGCATGTAGATCGAATTCTTGCCCTCTCGCCCCTCCGTGTCCAACCCGCCGCTGTACTTGTCCCAGCCCTGCGCGTTTCCACATATATCAACACAGCGCACACGACGCACACGACGCACACGCCACACACGACGGTACGACACACGCGTGTGTGCGCGATCAGGTTTACCTTGAGTTCGATTTCGTCGCCCAGGTAGTGGAGGAACTTCTTGAAGCCGGGTGATGGGTCCTGGTTGGCAAACATGTCCTCCTCTCGCACCTGCCCCGCTCGCTGATACAGCACTCCGAACTTGAACCGCGTCACCCGCTGTGTACCCACCACCACCACCACCGTGTTACCTCCACGTCAGCCAATACCGCACACGCCACCGCACGCGCACCGCACACACCGCACACACCACCGCACGCGCACGTACGGATTCGTCTTCGAATTTGAGGAGGTCCTCTTTGAGCTTGGGGTCCTTGACCTTCTTCATGCAGTCGGGGTTGAGGCCGTCCTCGGCCAGCTGGAGCACCTTGGAGGTCTTCATCTTCGCCGATCCGACGTCCTCCTTCGTCAGAAACTTTGTTTTCACTCCCTACACACGCACGCACGCGGGCGCCGCACACACTCGTCAGACACCGAGCACACACACCGCACACACGCACACGCACCACCGCACACAACACGCGGGGGGGGGCAGGTACATATTTGGTGCGGGACACGACGCGGACGTTGTAGGACTTGCTGCTGCTGGTGCCCTTCTCCTCGAGGATCGAAACGATGACGGGGCCCAGCTTGGGGTCGACCCCCACCCAGTTGGTGTGGCTCTGGTTGTGGAAATATTCCCTGTACCACCGCTTGTTCCGTTTGCTCCCCGCCAATCGCTTCAGCTTCGTCTGCAGACACGAGCGTGTGTGTCGTGTCGTGTGTGCGCACACAGTTAGTTGGTGTGTGCGTGTGCGGTGGTGCGTGTGCGTGTGTGCGGCCAGTACCCGAGGTGAGAGGAGCTCGGAGCGACACTGGCCGCCCTCGATGACGTAGCCCTCGCACTCCTTGACGAGATCGACCCCCCGGGGCCGCGCGTGCGACGACGACGACGAGCTGCCGTTGCTGGGGAGGTTGAGGTTGAGCGCGACGCGGCCGCTGCTGTCGGAGGCGAGCCGCGATCGGATCTCGCTTCCGGAGCTGGTCATCGCCTCGGGGTAGTTCGTGGGCGACCCGCCCGCGAGGCCGCGCAACGAGCCCTCACGGACGCTGCGCCGCTCGCGCTGGCCGATGAGGGCGAACGCGCTGCCGGCGGCCTTCTTGGCGTGCTCGAGCCGCTCGCGCTGGATCTCCATCTCCTTCTTGGCCTTCTTCTCCTCCACCCACTTCTGGCCTCGCTCGATGTGTGCGTGCAACGGATGCGCCAACCCTTTCTGCTCACGCGTGTCGCACACACCGCACACACCGCACACACCCCACCGCACACGATGAGAACGAGGAGCGGATGATTGTGGGGGGGAGAGGGGGCTCTATGTGGCACGCACGTCTTTGCCAAAGTCGCGCGCCTCGCGCACGAGGGTGTCGAAGGCCTTGTCGACGTTGCGGCCGGTCTTCGAGGAGATCTCCACCAGCGGCCGCCCGCCCCACTCGTGTGCTAGACTTCGTCCCTCGGCCGTGAGTACCTCCCTGGACGCGATGGCATTGACGATTTTTAATGAATGTAAATTTGAACTGTACAATCCTAAACTTGATTTGAATTTTGAAAAAAATAAAAAAGCAAAAAAAAAAAGGAGAACAGTGACGAGAATTGGGGCTTCAAGCAGGGACGGTGGAGGGGTGATGATACGGGGAGAAGGGGGCGGAGGGGGGGAGAGATTGGGGGGCGGGGTGCGAACCTGGCGTCTCCCTCGAGGTCGCTGTGTGTGCCGACAATGCAAAAGGGAAGAGAGGCGGCGTCCTCTACGAGCATAATCTCCTTGTACAGCTTCTTGAGCTCGTGGAACGACTTCGAGTCCGCGATGCTGTTGAGCACCAGATCGCAGCAGCAGCAGCAGATCGGGGGGAGGGGGGAGGGGGGCAAGAGAGGAGGTAAGTCTTGACCCGGAACTCTAAGAGATGAAGATTATGATGATGAAGAAGTCGAAGACGACGATGATGAAGGTGATGAGGTTTGGAGGAGGGGGTGAAGTGTCTGCTGTGAACTCGAACGCAGTGGCGAGTTGATGCGGGAGGGGGCGGTGGTGATGATGGTGGTGGATGATGATGATGTGCGTGCGTTGTGAAGGTAACGTAACGTACCTGTACACGAGCATGAAACAGTCGGCCCAGCCGAAGCACTAGGAAGCAATGGCGGCGACGACCACGCAACGCAACGCACGCAACACCCAGGAGGAGGCACCCAGCAGAGACAAAGATAGAACGGCCAGCAATCGAAAAAAAAACAAAACAAATCGAAACAGAACTGTCAGTTCTAACTTTCACACGTTCAGGAGTGCGTGTGCGTGTGTGTAGGTCTGCAGCGCGCTCCATTGTTCGCGGCGGTTCAACTTTAGTTTTCCTTTTTGGTGGGCTCGTTTTGCCTTTTCCTCCTCAAGCAGGCGGGAGCAAAAATAGAGCGCCGTGCTGAGAACTTGCTTTGGTTGCGGTCGACGACGAACAAAATGTTCTTTTCGGCCTTGTCCTTTCTCGTGCCCCAGTTCCGTCGTTGTTTTGTGTGCGTCGTTGCGCAGAGTTGCTTTTGGTTGTGTCGTGTCGTGCTGTGTGTCGTGTCGTGTGTGTGTGTTGTGTTGTTGTGTACCTTGGGGAAGACCTTCTTGGACGAAGCGGAGGAGCCGATTTCGAGGATGCTGACGTCGTACTGCACGCCATCGAGTGGCACCGTGTGCTGCACCAGGTCTTCTTCAAATAGGCAGAAGAAGAAGAAGAAGAAGAAGAAACGAACACAAGTCCACGCGAACGCGGAATCGCCACCAAATCCATTGCGATGAGAGCCGTTACACTTGTGGCACACACACACAACACAACACCGCCGCACACATGACACACGGTACACCACCACGAAGAAGAGTAAAGCGTGGTGCCGTACGGGTGGTGGGTTTGGGTGACTTGACGAACTTGCCCGTTGTGAGGTGGGCAATCATACAGGATTTGCCACACGAGCGGCCCACTACCACCTGCACGACCCGCCGCCACCGCGCGCGCGCACACACACACACACCCGGCGCACACACCATCCGGCGCACACGGTCAGGTCACAATCACTGGTGTTGCGTGTTGCGTGTTGCGTGGCACACGTACGATGCGGACGGGGTGAGCGCCCTTGGTCGCTGCGGCGGCGTCCGGCGACGGCGACGCGGCGTCGGTCTGGAGCAGCTTCTCGACCCTGGAGATGGTGCCCACCCACGACTCCCGCTTCTTCTTGCTGTTGCTCTTGTTGGCGGCGGCGGCGGCGGCGGCCTTCTTGCCGCCCCGGGTGGAGGCCGCGGAGGATGAGGCGAGGGGTGACGCCGTAGAGGTCGTGGCCGAGTGGTAGAGCGAAGAAGATGACTGCGAGTAGCCGGAAGAAGTAGTCGTAGTTGTGGTAGATGTGGAAGTAGAGGAGGAGCCGGTGGCGTTGATGTGTTGCGAGGAGGGGGAGTGGGATGCCGAGGTCTTGAGGTGTTTGTCCTTCTTGTTCTTGGATTTATGCGAAGGCTTCCTGGGCTCATCATCTTCTCCGCCCACGCTCTTGGTCCGGCCCTTCTTCTGCTTGGCCATGTGATCATCGTTCGTCTTTGCCGCCAAAATCTCCATCTTCTCTCCTCCCCCGACCTCTTCCGATTTTCGATCTTCGCCCTCTTCATCTTCATCTTCGTTGTCGTCGGCCAGTTTGACGGAAACGATTTTGTTGGGATCGGCCGGGGGGGCGGCCTCGCCTCCCGCCCCCTTGAGCCCGAGGAGGGCCTTGATCGAAGTGCTCCGCTTGAACGAGATGCTTCGCGTCAACACATTCCCTCCGCCCCCGCCCCCTTCGTTCTTCTTGGCGTCTCCATCCTTCGCTTTCGCGTTCTTCTTCTCTTTCTTCTCCTGCCGCGCTTCGTTCTTTTCGCGTTCCTTCTCCTCGCGGGCCTCCATCTTCCTCTCCTCCTTCTCCTTCTTCTTCTGCTCGGCCGCCTCCTTGCTTGCCCCCGTCCGTCGCAGCGAGCCGTAGCCCGACGCCTTCATCATTCTTCTTCGCCCACCTCCACCACTTGTGTCACTTGAACTTCCAAATGGCCCTGCAACCCCGCTTCACATCCAACCTTCGTGGCCGGCGTCTCCTTCGGACCTCGAGTGTCAAATCTTGGACACCGCGGGGCGAGCTTTCTCTCCCTTTAGCTGTTCGAAACCACTCTCGTGTGGCGTGCGTTGCTCTCGATCACCGTGGAGCCCTTGGCCTACGCCCCACCAGGATACGCGAGGCCACAACGACGACCGCTGTTGTTGGTCATGTCATGCTGACGTCATCCGAACGTTTGGCATACCAAACATTCCAACATTCCTGTCACAGGAATATCTGAAATTTCTTTTGATTTCTTTTTCTTTTTGATTACCGCCACTTGTTTCGACATGATGCGCACCGATGAAGAGGAAGCGTACGTGATGGACTCCACCAACGAAGGTACCACTCTTACTGGAACACAGAATCTTTGCGTACACGACTGCTCCGGAAATCAGGTTTTTTTTGGGATTAAAACAAATAAATAACTAACTACCACAACAGAGCTGGTGTGGAGCTTCGCCTACGGCGCCAACATGAATCGGTCGTCCTTGGCCAAGCGCCACGTCACGCCCCGCCAGAGCCTGCCCGCCATTTTGCCTGACGTACGTCGCGCTGACTCACCTCCGTCTCTCTTTTTTCCGAGCTCCGTAGATCACATGCCACAATGACCTTGAACTTTGCTTGTGGGTTGTGAAACGACACGATGGCGTGTTGTTGTTGTTGTTGTTTGCTTGTTGTGTTGTTTGGGTGGCGCAGTACGAGTTCAAGTTCAACATGACCGGCATGATGGGCAACGTGCAGCGATGTCCCGGCGCCGAGGTGCACGGCATCGTCCACCAGCTCACCCGGACCGACATGAGCAAGCTCGAGCTGGTGGAGGGCAAAGGTGTGGCCACACTAACCACCGCCAAAGCGCGCGCGCACTCTTTATGGGGCGATGATGCGACAACCGATAGACACTGATGATGAACTCCTCATTTTTCTTGCAGGACGTATCTACAATGTGGAACTGCTGTCCGTGGTCACATACAACGGCCAAGAGGTATGCAAGTGTTGTGCGCGTGTATCATGTGTCGTGTGTCGTGTGTCGTGTGTCGTGCTATTGTTAAGTCTTGGAGTGCAGCTGCAAGCGTTCGTGTTCGTCGGCATGGCGGCGATGGTAGAGCCGGGCGACGGGCGGCCGATGGAGCGCTACCGCAACATCATTCTGCAGAGCGCGCGCGAGTTCAAGCTCCACGAGCGCCACATCGCCCACATCGAGAGCTTCGACTACATCAAGAGCCGCACCCCGGACCAATACTACCGATTCTCCTGTCCGTCACGGTCTGTCTCGCACTTGCCCCATTCTCGCCCGGGCCACGACTGACACACACATTCCAACCACATTCCAGAACGGCGGAGTACCTTCACACGCCGGAACGACTGGCCGCCCTGCTGGCCGAGCTGGCCGAGAAGCGGGCGGCAGGCGGCGAGGTCCGCACGACCGTGACGCTGCTCGGGGACAAGGTGCTGCGACTGGGCGTGAGCAAGGAAGCGGCGGACCAGTTCCTCCCCTTCATGCCCCACATTGAGGGCAAGGACTTTGCCCTGTGGTACTGCGGCGTCATCAACGAACCCTCGCTCCCGCAGGCCCACTCCGTCGAGGAGCTCACCGACCTGCACTACGCGTGGGTCGAAGATCAGGTGCGCCTTCGACCGTGTGCGTGTGCGTGTGTGCGTGTGTGCGTGCGTGTGCGTGTGCGGTGGTGCGTGTGCGTGTGCGGTCGTTTCACACGTGGCGTGGCAGTTGCTGGGCGAGGCGAGCAAGTTCTGGGTCGAGAATCCCGAGATTATCGGCTATCTTGCATAACACATCACCACATACACATATTCTCACAATATATTTGTATGAAGACCCATTCTACTGGCACGGGAAGCCGCTGCCGAAAGTCTTCGTGAGGCACGGGCAGCAGGTGGCCCTCTGGCTGCCGAGGCAGCTGAAGCAGTCCGACGGGTCGCTCTTGTACTCCTTGCACACGAGGTAGCACTGCACGATGATCTGCGAGCACTCGATGCCCAGCTCGATCGTGCACCCGCTGATCTCCGCAACCAAAGGCCCGTTCCTGCGCGCAAGCGAAAGGGGAGTGGGTGGGTCAGCGCCGTATTGGGGGGGGCAAAGAACGAAAACGAGAACGAAAGCAAAGAACGAAGACCAAGTGGAAGAGTACTTCGGGACGACACTGCGGTCAGCGGAAGACGTGGCGGCGCAGACCGAAGAGACGGCCAAGAAGAAAGCAAGCAGGCCGAGCAGAGCGTGCACAACCTTCATTCTCTTTGTGGCGCTAGTGCAGAAAAGGGGAAGGAAAAAGGCCTCCTGGCATTTTTGCCGACGCAATGGTTTTTGTAATTATTTTATAAAACAACTGCAGATGGGAGGGCAGTCTCCTTTGCAGGCGGGGGTGGTCCTCCTCGCGACTCTGGCCTTCTGCGCGACTGCCAGTAATAGCTGGGGACCTGCCGACATCAAGCGCGTGCACGTCGGTGCGTTCCCCCCCCTCTCAATACCGCGGCACCATGGCTGAGCCTCTTCATTGTCACGCGCCAACCGGGTCTCCACAGTGTTTTCGAACCACTTGGACGTCGGCTTCGACGGCCTCGGCCCCAAGGAAATCGGTACGCCCGCCACTTCGACTTCGTACTTACAGTGCTGGTGGGTGTTTTCAACGTTTTAAGTTGGTTGTTTTGCAACTTAAAACACAAACAATGCAACAGGGTTTGCGTTCACCATCATCAACAAGTACTTTGACGAGTACTTTGCGCGGGGCATGAACACGTCTGCGGTGTTGCGGCAGCGCGACCCGCCCTACCGCTACGTCTACACCACGCAGGCCTACCTGACCTCGCTCTACCTCGACTGCATCGACCCGTCGCGGTGGACCTACCCGGCCCCTGGTACCGTCATGCCATCACCTCCTTCTTGTTCTTACTTCTTATTATCATCGTCGTGGTCGTCGTCGTCATTGTCATCATCATCACAGGACTGCAAGCCAATGGTCCGCGCCCGCCGCCGCTGCATTGCCCTGACGCCGCTGCGAGGCAAGCGCTCATTGGTACATGCCAGGCACTGGTCCTTAAGAAAGAAAAAGCGACAGCTAACCGCGAACGACTTCATTCTCTGGCCGCACACGCACACGCACACGCACACGCACACGCACACGCACACGCACACGCACACGCACCACTGCGCACACGGTGAAGATGGGGTCAAGCGTGGCGACATTTGGTGGCACGCGTTTCCTTTTAACTCCGAACCCGAGGTGTACGACCACTCGCTCTTCCAGTCGTCGGTCAACCTGGCCAAGGACCTCGCGCGGAGCCTGGGCCGCCCGGCGCCCAAGACACTCTCGCAGCGAGGCATCTCCTTCCGCCCATTTGAGTTCGACTCCGCAGCAGCGCTGGCACTGATCGACGGTCGTGTGCCGCATGTCTGACAGACGTGCCCGGTATGACCCGCGGGGTCATTCCGCTCCTGAGCGAGCTGGGCATCGAGGCCATCAGCGTGGGCGTCAACGGCGGATCGTCGCCTCCTGCCGGTACGTACCCGATGACCACTCGCATGTGTCTCAACTAACGAACCACATCGCCGGCGCCATCGCGACACAGCACCAAGCGCGTTTGTGTGGCGCGACGCCACGACTTCCACGGAAGTGATTGGAATGTACCACCCGGGTATGTGCGCTCTTCTGTCACTGTCCGCTGCTGTCTCCCTGGAATGACGCCTATTATTTTGCTGCAGGTGGCTATGGCGGGATCGAAGTGTCGGACTGTGTGATCGTGCCGGGGCTCGATCACGCCCTTGCGCTCGCGTGGAAGGGAGACAACCAGGGGCCGCACACCGTCGACGAGGCGCTGGCCGTGTTCCAGCAGCTGGAGGTAGCCTCCACGACTTTTAAACTGACCGCGATGCAATCTCATGGCACTCACGCACGCACGGACGCGCACAGAAAGAGTTCCCGAACGCAGTGGTGCAGGGCTCAACTTTTGACGAGTTTGTGGAGCAGCTCAAGACGGTGCGGACCTCGCTGCCCGTCATCGAGAGCGAGATCGGTGACACTTGGATCTACGGAGGTAAAGCCTTCTTCGTCAACGCCACCACCGCCAGCCACATCGTTTTTTAACTCCGAACTGTGATACTTCTTCGGTCATGGTGGTGTTGTGGGCAGTGGCGTCCGACCCGCTGAAGCTGGCGCAGTTCAGGGAGGTGCTTCGCCTGCGCCGCGCCTGTCTCGCCGCGCGCAGCTGCTCCCCCTCCGACGCCGCGTTCCGCGAATTCGATCGCCTCCTCACCAAGGTCGGCGAACACACGTGGGGCGTTGACGTCAAGGTGCCTACCTTCAACCGCCCTGGCAATCAAATGTCGACGTTGAATGGCTCACATGAAGTGGCGTGGGTTCCCCCCCCCCCGCAAAGACATTCCTGAACGATTTCACCCACTGGAGTAACTCCGAGTTCGAAGCGGCCAAGAACGGTTCCAACTTCGCGCTGATGGTCAATTCGTGGATCGAGCAGCGGTCGTTCATCACCAACGCCCTCCGTGCACTGTCATCGTCCGGTACGCGCGTAGGTTTCGTTCGGGCGGTGAATGTCAACAACACACTCGCTCACGATTCGGACATACAAAAAAACAACCGTGTGGCGCGCAGACAAGTATGAACCGCTGGCCCGGACCATCGAAGCCAACTTGCAGGCGCTGAAGCCTAAGGGACCGCCCAATCCTCAGGCCCTGGGCTATGCTGCCGTTGCCAGGTACTTCGCTTTCGTCTTCGTCTTCTGTTATGGGGCTGTGGTGTTCACTGGCGGCCCTCGGCGCGCAGAGAGGACTGGGCGCGCGTCTTCCAGTGTGGCGAGCTGGTGCTGGCCTTCGACCCCACGAACGGCGCTATCAACTACCTCTACGACAAAGCCAAGCGCGCCCAGTGGGCCAACGGAGCGGTTCGCTCGCCAGAGCCGCCAAATTCCCAGCATCACCTTCGCCGAACCCTGACCTCGCGTGTGTTGTGTCATGTGTGTCGTGTGTCGTGTCGTGTGTCGTGTGTCGTGTGCCGTGTGCCGTGTGCCGTGTGCCGTGTGCCGTGTGCCGTGTGCCGTGTGTCGTGGGTGTCGCATCACCGCACACAGACATGCCATTCGCTGGGACTGTTCCAGTACTCGACATACGACCAGGGAGACTACACTAACTACATCGGCACCTACGGCTACCTACAGCCGCCCCCGGAGTGGTTCGCCAAGGTGCGTCCGGCGCCTATGGACCCTCTCCCGACGTGTCAACTTACCATGCTCCGTGTGTGTGCGTGTGTGCGTGCGTGCGTGCGTGTGCGCGCGCGCGCGTGTGCGTGCGTGTGTGTGTGCGTGCATGTGTGTCGTGTCGATGTGGTGCAGGACTTTGGTAAGCCTGGAGTGGAGTCTGCAAGGCCACTGCATGGGTTCTGGCTTCCCAGGCTGGAGGCGATGTGGACTAAGTCGTCCTCAGCCGGCTGGCACTTCCTTCTGCGGCTCGGCATGGCCAACGGTGCGTTGCACTCCTCGCCGCTCGGAGCTATAAAAATTAGGTCCGATGGCTCACTGCTCAGTGCCAATTCGACGTAACAGAGACGTGGCAGTTGTA